TCCTTTAAATAAATCCTATTCTGAAACGCACCATAACCAGCTAAATATTTGATCAATGCACAAAACGGGCTGAGCCAACATGTTTTGGGGCAATTCGGGCATACTAAAAAAAAAAAAAAAAGGGGCTGCATTTTCCTTTAAATAAATCCTATTCTGAAACGCACCATAACCAGCTAAATATTTGATCAATGCACAAAACGGGCTGAGCCAACATGTTTTGGGGCAATTCGGGCATACTAAAAAAAAAAAAAAAAAAAAATGCATCGTCTGTCAAAGTGATTACCGGTAGTTCTATTGGTCAGGGAACAACATAAAAGTACGTTTACATAAAAATTACTTCATAAATAAGGGACTGTGTTCTTTGTGACAATGCAGTCAGAGTGTTGTCATGTCTATTGGTGTTGCTATGTTGTAAATCAGGGTCATCCATGTGGTGCCCGCGGGTAGCAGAGTTTTGGAACAATATTTGATTAAATAAAACACATTTTCATCGCAAGCGCAACACTTCAAGAATAATGACTGTTATTGTGGATTACATATGACAATTTGAAATTTTGGTTCAGACTTCAGCAACCATCATGGAACTAGACATGTTTGATATGCTTTCGCGAGCCACATAAAATGATGTGGCGGGCCGGATCTGGCCCCTGGGCCTTGAGTTTGACACTCAATTTAATAAATAAATAAGTGTCAATTCAACACACATTTTCAAACACAGGCCAAAACAATACCATCCTATATTGGAGAATGGCAGCTTTTACAGGTAGTGCAAAGGGGCTTAGGCTTGGAGACATTGAGCCTCAGCAAGTCTCCACAAGTTCAGGATGAAAACGAAGACTCATGGGTTAATGGGTTTGTTAACACAAGACCTAAAAATCTGGCAGGGCTAGACGAGTGGAGGCGTCAAGACAGCCACTGATGCCGTAATACTGCACCTCGACCAATACAGCAAAAGGTGAGAGTCCCTTTGTATCAGCATTTTGGTGTTCCATTCCATTAATTGTGCTTCTCTTTCTATTTGTGGTTCTCTTTACTGTCTAGTGGAGCCGAGGAAGTCTTGTTGGGAAGCAGAGCTGCTGAATTAATAATGCTCCGAGAGGGACTGCTGCACACCTGAGTTAGAGAGAGGAAATGACTCACCTTGTCATGAATGGATTACGAGGGGGTGGGGGGAGAGATTCCCACGTATGCTACAGCCATAAAAAAATCATTGGCATTATTATTATTATTATTGTTGTTGAGCTTGTTTTGAATCATGTTTAACTGGAACTGCTTATACTCACAGAGAAGGAACTAATGGAGTCGGTCATTCATGACGGGTGAGCGAACACTAATCCGTGATGAAATAGTGGACTTTTTCAGCAAGATCAAAGAAAAGCTCAGCAAAACTTAAAAGAAAAAAATGCACTGAGACCAGACAAGTTTTCAACACACTATTGTTGACGTCATGTTACTGGTCACGTTTGGGCAGTCATTCTGATTACACGCTGCAGTCTGCAAGATTGGTCGACTTCCATGTTGACGATGGATGGGAAAAACTGTGTTGGGTTTTTTTTTTTGGGATGGTTTTAAGGATAACATACAGCAATGACTGTTGCGCAAATCTGCTTCGTGACATTGCCTTACCAAGTAACACACTATTCTGCTATTTAGTCAGTCAGAGCTGCCTACCTATTGAAATTCACTTCCAAATTCACTTAGCTTTTATTAAGTGTACAATTATTCCAACTCTTGTCTTTTACACACTCTTTGCTCCCATCTCACGCTTACGATTGGTGAGTCCGCTGGAATGGAAAAATAATCACAGCAAAACACCGCTGACATAGCAAACGTGATAAATATGATAAAATAAAAACTTGCGATGCATTGAAGCCGCCGAAAGTGAACCGCGACATAGCGAGGGACTTGGCGACAGCCTTTCTCAGCAATTTCATGCAAATTCTAAGTTGTTTTTCATTATAATACTGTCAGGCCACTAACCGTAAAAACCCCAAACAGCTATAAGAAGGTGGCAATCTAAAGCTGACAATCACCAAATAACTATACCTACATAATTTAGTTTCATTGAATCTACGAAATCACTGACTGACACTCCACGCAGTCCAAAGGGCAGTGATTAAAAAACAAACAAACCCAGCTTCTTTCACAAAGACTTACAATCCGTCATCACTGGCACCACATTTCGATGAGAAAGAGAGCACTATGATAGCCAGTGGAAGACTTTGCTCCTCATTCTTTCTTAAGAGCCCTTGTTCTATAATTGTGAGCTTTGAAGGAAAAAAATCCTCTCTGCAGAGTGGCAGGCAGTATATGACTCCTATAAACACGACACTCTTGTCTCTCAGTATGAAGAAGCAGAACACTTGAACGTGTCTCCTGCTCTCAGTAAGTCTGTGCTTCTTGGGCTTAGTTTTAACCCAGCCAGGGACGGGAAATCCTATCCGTTCCCCAAAGGCCCCATTGTCTTTCTGTCCTTGTCTACTGCAGGACTGGTAGCAACTTTGGCATACAAATGTGGCATGCCGTGCATGTATTGTCATAGCAAAAGTAAAAGCTGAAAAACAAGATGACACCATCCAAACTACCTAGCAAGCATCCTGTCATCTCGATGACATACTGTAAGTCTGAGCTACTATATAAAAGTGTCGCTCTTTTAGATAAGTACCAAGCATTAATAGATGTAGAAGCTGCGCAAAGTACCAACATCATTACTTAACATATTCCAAGTTAATCAAAGAAGAAAACATATGTCCTCGTTGAGATGACAGTTATTCAACCAAACATGCCCTGTAAAAATAAGAACCAAACTTCATCGTCATGCATACTGTACAAGACCTCAGCATACATTAAAACCTCAGTCCAGCAATCATCCAACAATTAATTTTGCACATTTGGTACTTTTCCCTTGTTTATCGAGGACATTTTTTCCAAAAGAATAGTTGTTCCCTCGCATTTTTGGACATTACATTTTGGTGAAAGATGGAGCTTCACTTCAGGCCGCTGTCATCGTTGCTCATCCCCAGGCACTGGGTTGTGCTGGAATTAATATTTTAAGATTGGCAGCAAGCAGGGAAGCCAAAGCTACCTGTTATTCTCATCCACAACCAGCTCATCTTTTCATATAGGGACCCATGCGAACATACAAAAACTGTGTTGTTTTGTTGGCCGGATATTTTGCTGCAGGAGAGTCGAAAGTGCTCTTTGTAAATTGGCCAGTTGCAAGACAAGATGCGAAATGCAGGGGATTCATGATTAGTCGACTAAAAGATTTAGAATGTTGATTTAGAGTAGTGAAGTCGATTAATTGGTTCAATACCGAGTGGGCGGGATGTCCGAAGGTGTCCCACGCCTCAGTGGTGTCTCAATGCTACATGCTATGGTTCACAAAGAGTCTTGGAATGATTTAAATTCCTGACCTGAGATTCCACTATCACCATGTGAAAATGTAATAAAATAGCTAATTTGAAAATAATACAGTCCACTCAAGCCAGTTAATCACTGTAAACTCATCTTCATAGCCCACAAATACTTTTCAGCATTTAGTTTATCTTTTAAAACTCATCTAATTCATGACATTAAAGGAAAGCGGTCATCCTACTAATCTGCCGCAAAAGGAGGACAGATGTTAAGATATTGCGAAAACAATTACTTTGGGGTAATCTTGAGTGCATGAGCGTAATCTTGTAACGACAGAAGGTGACCTAAATTATTCAGCGCCGGATCAAACGATGCATTCAGATTGCTGAGTGTGCTGTAACAGTAGACGCGAAGAGACAGGATGCAAGTGAGCATGACAAAACCACTCGTTATTGTAGCGCCACCCTCGCGGTGGCTTCCTATACGGAGTTAATGGGGTGGAATCACTGCTCACAGTCCGGAGGCGAGGATCACTGTTTACCGAAGCGACTATCAGATGATGGCATCTGAGAGGGAAATCATAAACAATCGAAGCCGAAGGCTACGAAAAATTGGGCTTCCTCGATAACACTGTCCCTCCTTTTGGCATCGTCAGGTCACATGCGGCATATGCGTAAAATTAACACTCACGGTGTTATCTTATGCCTATGCATCCTTGCGAGATCCTTTCCAGTAATTACATTATAATATCGGAGGAACAATAGGAAAGGAACAAGACCGAGTATAAAGAGTGAATGCTTGCTTAAGATTTCCGCTAACGTCAAACTAGCACGTCCCTGCTAAGCCAATGCTACGAAGCTGCAACAAATATTAAACCAACTCTACACGCTGCTTCTAACAAACACTTGTTCGAGACTTACCTGAATGCTTGGTGAATATATTGATCGACGGGTCAGGCACGTTGATCGCAGTGGTCCTACCCGGCGGTGTGCCGATGTTACTGCCGGGCTCTCGGGGTCTCCTCCCGGCGACGCTCCCCCGGTTCCCCTTTCCTTGGTTTCCTTGGGACGCGTGGGGCTGTGGTGGCTGCAGTCCGGTCGATGTGCCCTCACCGACGCGGCCTACCTGCTGTCCCATCCCGGTAGTTTGTCGTAAGGACGTTCGGGACCAAGCGAGCAAACCCCAGCGCGCCTCTGGCTCACATTCCCCTGCGCTGGAGGAGCCTGCGTGCCGAATAGCGTTCCTCAATACCCCTCCTCCTCCTTACGCTCCTCGCCGCTAACTATCCCGTATTAGCTGGCTTGGCTAAACAGTTAGCTGATGTTAGCAGTAATCACAGAAATCCATAACTGCCCGGGTTCTAAACAAAAAAAACAACCACCCCCGCGGCGTGACAGCGACCGTCTTTACACCGGAGAATCAGGCGTCGTCCGGGAAGAAGATGAACGGGCGAGTTTTGCTCAAATGTGGAGCTTTTTTCAAAACGTTGTCGCCATGGTCCGTCTGCTGCGCGCCCCCTCTGACGCCGCCATCTTTACCGCAGAACAGAAGATGTGTTGCACAAGGCGGCAGGGGGTTGGCTAGGTTGGCTCTTCCCCCGACCGTCGCCGTCCAACACATCTCCGGTACTTCTAGCGTGGGCCGACAGGCCCAAACATCACCCCCTAGAGCCGGGTTCTGACAGTCGTCTTGTCACCCCAGAACCTAAAACTTTGCCCATGGTAACGCAAGAAGTTCAATTACGCTTGGCTCTCTGCAACTTTTCATTTTAATTATTGAAATGTGTTCCGTGGAAGCATTGAGTCGTGCGTAATAAATGCTCATTTGTGCGCACGAGTGAGTTCCCCTCAATGCAATTTCTGTGGCTCACCTATAAGAGATCAATATCTACGTAAAAATCAAACAATGTCGAAGACATTATATGGGTATAACTTCAAACCAATTGGATTTATAGGCTAATTAAAAACAGGAACATGCTACAAATGAAATGTCAAAATTACAATATTAAAACATTCACGACAGTGATTTTCCCTATTTAACTGTTAAATGTTGTGATTCCGGCACCATTATTGAGCCAAGCTCCTTTTTCGAAAAATATCTCAGCATACCGTCCAAAAATGTCATAAAAATTATGAATACTGAAAAAATGTTATCCCTCAATGTGAAATGTTAGATGGTTAAGTGAACGATGGTAACATGGCGGTGGTAATGCCTTCTAACGGAAGAGTATGTAATTGTTCTGCATGTCACTATACGTCGCTGTCATGGATAGATGAATAGATTGTAATTTTCTGACAAATTAAGTGAAATTGGATAATTTCCCGCGGCAACTCTGATGATCTCTCACAGCACATGAGTGTGCCATGACACCCTAGTTGGGAATCACTATTTTAAAAACATTGTCCAAGATACTGCATTTTGTTCCAACTAAAGAAACTTTGAATGATTCAGCAAATTAAGAGATTGCGGACATTTTCACATTTGTGATAAATGGCCTTTCACTTGTGTCATACTTTTCCATCGACAAGACACTCAAAGAGCTGAATTCAACACTGACGCAGGATCCAGAGAAATTGGGGATTCAGTTTCTTGCTCAAGGACACTTCGACATGGCCACAAGAGCCGAAGATTGAACACACAACCTCTTCCTTAGGAGAATGGATGCTCACTCGTACCAGAGTCATGCCGCCCCACTGTGGTAATAGTTTGGAATTGCCTTTCCAATAAGACTACATTCCACTGCACAAAGGAAGGTCCATGAAGACATCGGTGAAAGAGTATGGTGTGGGAGAACTTTATTAACATGCGCAGAGTTCTGACCTTAACCCGATAAGAGACCAGAGACTCAGCCAGGACTTCGCGTCCAATATAAGTGTCTCCTCATTAATGCGATTCTGCAAGAATGACCACGAATTCCAATCAACACACTCCCAAATCTTGTGGAAAGCTTTGCATGAAGAGGTGGCGCCGTTATAGCTACAAAGGACGGACCATGGATCAAGAATGGAATGTCGCAGCTCATATGCGAGTCAAGACAAACACTTCGCAATTTCGTATATTCGAAAACCAGGTGAAACACTTTGTTTGTCCACGCTTTGAAAAGTGCTATACTGAATAAATAACATAAATATACTCACTACACAGATAAACAACGAGCGTAAACATGTATTTTGTTTTATTCAGAAAAGTTCAAATAATAAAGAATAGATCTGTGAAAACGGAGACGTGCAAAACACATGGCACAATTATCTAACACAGGTGTGGGGTGGGGGTATTTTGTAAACAAAAGTAATAATGTGTTGATCCTGTCAAAACTTTCTGGATCTTGGCTGTTACTGAAAAAATAAATACAATATAAATGATCAGGTTTGGTTGAAATTGGATAATTGTCAATGATTGATTTCACTGTGGATGTCTAAAATGTAGTTATTCAGGGCGAAACAGTAACAAATGTTCACCGTCATATGGACATGCATGAATATAAACTTTACATCCTGTTCAGACGATATTTCCGAGTGTGTTAAAAAAGAAAAATCCAAGTGAAAAAATACATAAGGAAAAGGTATTCACGAACACAGCGGATACAAATCTTTAATACAGCGACACCCTGTGTTCAAATAATGCTCAGCAAGGCTTGCATTGCTCTTTTTCAAACTTAAAAGATGAATAGATCTAATCATTTACAGTCACATACATCCTTCCTGCATTGAAATCCATTACAATTAGCAACATTAAACATGAAACAAATGATTGTATCACATTGATGAGAAATGTCAACTCCGATGGTAAATTCTCAAGTAAAAGCACAGAACTTACCAACATGGAACATCACCATGCCGGCATTCAAAGGACTCATTCTATAAATTTGCCCTTAGCACTGAGTTACCATCAATATTATTCAAGTGTTTAAACATTTTACACAGACTGCAGCCACATAGCTGAAAGAATTGCATATAATTCGTTCAAGTACAGTATGTTGAGGATAAAATCTCATTTTGGTCCCAAAGAAAAAAAAATGTCAATCATGCACAATATCTGGCCAAGCCAGTTCAAGTTATAAGTATGTTGAGGATAAAATCTCATTTTGGTCCCAAAGGAAAAAAAAAATGTCAATCATGCACAACATCTGGCCAAGCCAGTTCAAGTTATATAGAATACATAGGTGACACAGAATATATTATCTTGATATTTCTTTTTATAATATGCCATTTGAATGATCGAAGAGCCCAACTACCTCGAAATGCGAAATACCAATGAAACGAAATGACCTTTATGATTCGGATGCAATTGCTGGGTTTGTTAAATATTAACTATTACTGCATATGTGAATGATTTGTACATAATGACTGGCCACATTGATGACTGGTCCTCTAATATTGACACAAGATGTAACCTCACAGTAGATCAAGTCAAAAGGATTGGGAAATTCATGTGTAAAATAGCGCACGCACAATATATACTGTATATATTTGTTGAAGACAGAAAATATAAGTAAGGCACCTGTTCGCATGGGGAATAAAGACTTATTGAATCTTTTCCATGCATTCTTATGACAATTCAGTAGTAACTTTAGTGCAATAAACGAAGAAAAACAGCAGACACCAAAACTTAGGACAGTAACAGAAAGGATAGTGAATGAGCATGTCACAGTTGCAGTCCAGGTCACACCCAGTTAATTGGTCATCACACTTTTCTGGCAGGTCCATGACCGAGGCTGCAGTAACTCTCGCAGGGAGGGCTGAAGCAAAAATAAAAGCTTAACAATTTGCATTTTCTGTCAAAGCAATTAAAGAAAACTTGATTGGAGAAAAAAAAAACATTACTAGTCAGGCAATACCTCTTTTAGAGGGCAGTAGCGCTGGGCATACCACTCCTGGGAGTACAAACAGATGATTACGCCGTGTCCCAAGAAGAGGGAAGTCCACATGATTATATTCCAGATGGGACCTTTCCTTTGATCATGGAGGATGAAGTTAAACATCACTGTCAAAAAGTGAATAGAATTGATCATTTTTTAAAGTGTTTCTCGAGAATGCAGAAGAAACTGAAAGGTGTACTGGTGTCTCACTTCCAAAGCACATAAACAGACAGAAGAGGACTGGATAGAAGAAGCCGAAGCAGATTGCAAGGATATACTCGTGGACAACTGCAGACAATGTAAACACAAACAGCATGGCTGCTGTTCGGAAACGCTTCTGGGAGATCTGGAATTATAAGAGGCAAGTCAGAAACATTAGTGACAAGCTGGTTTGACTGCATCCACGTGGAATTACAGTGGATATAAAAACTCTACACTCACACCGCTGTTCAAATGCCAGTTTTTTGTGACATACAACAAGGAGACCAAGATAAATAATTTCAAAAGTTTTCCACCGTTAAATGTGACCTACAGTATAACCTGTACAATAGAACTAAGAAAAAAAAGTATTTTGAGAGGGGAATTAACGGTAAACTCAAATGAGTGGTTTGCAAAAGTGTGCACACCCTCTTAAAACCGGATGTCAATGTATTCAGACCAATCACGATCAAAACCATATTAACAGTGAGTAAGCACACACCCGCCACTATTTAAAGTGTGTTTGATTAACCCCAAATACATTAAAGATGTTCAAGTCTGCTCTTTTTGCTTTCTACCAGAAGCCTGACAGTTTTATGCTAACACCGACTGTTATTTTGAACAGGTTAGAATTCCTTCCTCCCTATCTACGGCACCAGTCCCATCTCAAATTCATTTGGTGATGAGCAGTGTTGTGTTTGTCCGAAACATACCTTTTGGAATTATGGCCAAAAAGTTCAACATGGGTTCTATCAGACCGTAACACATTTTCCCATGTACATAGGACTACAGTGAAGCATGGTGGTAGCTGCATCATGCTTAAACAAGCTAGAAGTAATTCTGAGCAGTTCCAAACAGCAGTCAGTGTTATCACATTTAATGTTTCAAAGCTTGAATATTAGTTTGTTTTTACAATTGTATGACTGCTAAAATATAACTGCTGCTATGTTATTGAGAATTTGCCATCAAGGTTTAATAGTTTTAACAGTGATTTTCTATTTACTTAACTTCACATGAGGAAAATTGCAGGGTGACCAGAACTAAGAGCAAACTTTAAAGGTTCTCACTGTACACATAAAGCAGTTAAGTACAAAGATGGTTAAAAAGAAAAAAAGTCACGCAGATCCACTCACCCAAAGGAAGTCCCGGTACACGTAGTGAAACAGCCAGTCATGAACGACTACATTCCAAGTACGGTAGTAGTTGGCAAAAGATGTTGAGTTCCACCAGTCCTATGAGGTGGAATTAAAATGAATTCGTCTGACCAGTTAGCGCACACACAGGAACTTCATTTCAGGAGCGTGAGCGGAAAGTGCGGCACCTTATAGAACATCCTATCGCCAAACTGAAGCATCTCTGCAAATGCATTCAACCAACAGTGGAGGAAGGCAAAGAAACCCAAGAAAAGAACCAACACTCCTGTAAAAAAAAAAAAAAAAAAAGTATGCATTAAATGTAACGAAGGAAACGCAATCGCTGCTAGCTGGATAACGGAAAAGCTTACTCTGAATAATGAGTTGGTGATCTTACCAGGGAGGATGGAGTTAAACACGCCAAGGACCATGGCCCTCAGGTCAAAAAACTGAAGGCTGATGCTGCGGAACTGAGGGATGCAGAGCCGCACAAACACATAGTACGCATAAAACAGACAGCCTAGTACCTGTGAGGAGAAAACAATTTGGAATGGTAAGATAAATAGGCAGACGTGTACTATTAGAGCCAGACAGTGAAAGTTCAAAGAGGGACTGGTACTTGGAGTAACTTTGTGGCCACATAGCCCCATCTGATCATTGGGCTCCTGCGTTAAAAAAATATGAGAGTTAATTCAGGTGTTCCATCTTCAGTTCTTCTGATATTAAAAAAAAAATGATGACGTGTTCACCTTGGATATTTATCTCTGTAGATAAGCGTAGGGGCAAACAAAAAGTAGAGATATTGAGAAGCATGAGGCACTACTGGGGTTGGGCCTGTACACGACAAAAGAGACTTATTAAAATAGAGAAAAAAACCCCGACACACAGAAAAGATCGTGATGTTGTGTAGTCAACTCGTATACTCATATACGTAAACAATCCATTCATAATTGGGAGAAATTAGACGTTGACCAATTTAGGCACTACACCGATCAGTGTGATGCAGTATACAGAAGTCCTACATATCAATAAACATCACTTGGTAAATAACAACATTGTGAAAATTGAACATGAAAATTGATCATGATTAAAGTTTTTGATACAGCTCATGTATTGTCTGCCATTAATACTGTGTGGGGAGGGGACTTACTGGACTTGTCCTTAGCCCAGGCCAGAACTCTTGGGACATTCTCTCTTATAAAAGAGTGGGCTTTCATCATGAGTCTCACCTGGAATGTGCAATGGGCACAGCAATTTCTGTCATTCCATCCCAATTAACATTCCATTTTCAAAAGTAGCTACATTCGATTCGGAATGTTCCAAGACATGAAGAATACCTGCTCCAAGATGACGATGAAGCACGAGGCCGGGGGCAAACTGTTGACCACAACCACATATGTGGGTAAAAAACCAAGGCCCAAGGCTTGATAGAGAAGGAACGTGGAGCCAAACAGAAAACTGTAAAGCTTGTGGTGACCGGAAGAGCCAGACTGGCTCTGCGTCCACAGCTTGAACAGGGGATAGGGAACCACTAAAACTGAAAGGAACATAAAGAGCCACGTGCACACCACCAGTGGGAATTGCCCAAATGCGTAGACCAGCAGGTCAAAATCTAGCACCAGTCTGGAGAGATAAAGCAGACAGGACAATCTAGTTTATCACAAAAGTCAAGCAAAAATGGCATTATCTGTTATGTCACTGGTCAAACCCATCTCGAATATTACCTGCCTTCATCGATGAAATCAACCACCAACGTACTGAGGATGAAAAGAACGAGCAGGGCAATAAACATGTGGTAGATAGTCCGGATGTGGTTCACCTCAAAGAGCTCACTGTAGGGGGAGAAATAACAGACTTGCGACTGGAACCACTTGATCGCAAGACACAAGTGTCAGGCGGTGAAGATTTCTTTGCTTACTCAAGAAGGGACCTGCGGCTGACAAACTGCTTGCCCTCGCCGTGAGGAGGTCGGAAATGCCTGGAGGAACACATGGCCAAACTAGTAACATTTTTTTTTTTTTGGTTGTTGTGCTAAAACGTGAACGTCGACATGTACTCTTTGCACATACCCAAGTCTGCTTCTCTCCCTGTCTGACAGAGTGGGTGAGAAGACAGCAGGCAGGGGTGCAGCCTCCACTCTAGTCGACTCCTCAATAAGGCTGTCCATGAAGTCATTGACCTGGTTGTCAAATTCGCGCATCAGGTCCTTCTTCAGGTACTGAGAAGTGTCAAAAGCACAGACCAAGTCACTATCACTGATAAATAAACAAATCACTTTACTAAAGTTACTGCTTACAATTCCGCCTAAGTTAGACATTACAGGGAAAAAGTGAAGCAATGTAGAAACATCATGAATGCAGACAGATTAGAAATGAGCGTTGGTCAATTGCAGAAATTGTTTTGAGAGACACGAAGCTTCTCTGTGAGGACAGAACCATGATAAACGCTGAAGGAAACTTGACCTCATGTTTTGATTTCCTGAGCAACTCATTCAAATGAGCACGATGAAGCTTCCCCTTAAAACAAATGACTTGCACTTCTAACCTCTGCTTTCCTTTTCAGTTGTAGCTTCTTGCTGATCATTTGCTCCACCTCAATTTTCCCTAAAATTAGAAAAGACACAGCATCCACATATTATGCGTATGTAGTGTGGTGCAATGGACAATGAGTATTTGTTCATTTGCGAATTGTAGCCCAAAAATAATTCTCTAATCTAAGAAATTCATCCAAAAACTGCACCGCCAAATGGCAAGTGGGTTAAAGAATGGGCTGAAACATAATACATTTTAATAAATAAATGTTACTTTGAACTACAGTTGCGATTACATACACAAACAGACAGAGATGAGTTTCAAGAGTTCTTTATAATTCACAGTGTCAAAATTAAAGCAGTTTTACAATTCATTTTATTCACTTGTATTTTTTTCCCCCTTGGATCCTGAGGCGATCTCTGGTAAACTGCATGTTGACACAAAGAGATTATTTTACATGACCATATTAAGAGATAACACAACCACGGTTTTGAAGCTTGCATTGTGGGAGATAAAAATTCAGGAAAATATCTTATGTAAAGGCAGATGCAAGTCTAGCATCATTTCTTCTGCTCACAAGTGAACAATCAAGTTATATTGTCAAACACTATAAAACATGATATCCAAAATCCCAGCACCTTTCAAAGCTTGAAAACATAACCTTAAAATTCAAGCATTGTGCACCCTTTTGGACACTTGAAGGGATGAGAACTGGATGAGTGGAAATCCCTTTCACACCATCCTGACTACAAATGTCTGACAAAGTGCAATTACATCCACCCGTATTCTATAGCACTTGTCGTTCTGAGGTGGAGCCTATTCCACCTAACTTTGGGCTGACAAACATTGTGTGCAAACTATGTCATCATTTCCCTTTGCACCTCATAAGGGCGTAGTGTTGATTCATGATTTCTAAGAAAAGTTCAGACATTTTCAAGTGCTCATTTTAGATAGGGACAATAGTTCACTCTCTTAAGCGTTTGTACAGTTGGGAAATTGCTCTTTAATCCCCTGCTGAATTATCAAGTGTGAACACTCGAGTTAACATTGTGTGTGAACGTCCGATCAAATTTTTAAATTCATCAGGAGTTCAAATGATGGTTAAATTTCTTCAAAGTAATTCGTACCACTGCTGCTGATGTGACTGTCTCCAATGGACTGATTCTGATCCCCTCCTAGGCTACACTGGCCATTCACTGGGCTATCCGGGTCAGAGTAGGTGGGCATTTGGGCAAGGTTTCGGTGGCGGGAGCGCACTCTGCTGTCATCCCCATTCTCCATCCTAGAAAGCAAAACAATACAAACAAACTTTTGTTTTCGAATCACATCTCACTATTGACTATGGACAAGAATTCGAAGGATTCTGAATGACGCGCAAACCGAGCCCAGTAAGACAAGTGAATCAGTTTCACATGACACTTGGACCGACAGCTAACAGTTCAGTTAGCAAATGTAAAGCCAGTGAGCTGCCAGTCGTCTCACAGATACTGAAACACAAATTCCCCTCCCTTCACTGTCCTGCAAACGCTATGTCGTGCTCCAAGTGAGAGCTACACAACTTAGCCAAACTATTATAGTCCAACAACAGGTTCAAACTCAACATTGATAGAAAAACGAATGAAACGCTCACGTGATACCCTGTCGGAAAATTACACTCCTGCGACACCACGGAACTTCCCGTCTGCTGGACGCGTCTCTCCGAATGACAACAACGTGGGAATTGAGCGACACTGCACACTTTCATTATTGCGTCAACAGTGAGCCGAAGATGACCGGTGAGCTCGACGCTCATTGGCTGACCCTCTCTCCTCCCGTTACGTCATCAAAAAAGGCGTCTTGCTCAGATTCGTTAAAATAGCGGTGAGAAGTAAGGAAATACACATTCTCCGTTACTGCACTAGATTTAGAAGTAAATTTTGCTGGTGCTGTAGGCTACGGGGACAGGTGTTTTACTCCAGTATTTATTTCATCTATTTTTTTTTTTTTACTTTCACACCAGACACTAAATAATTCCGAGAATTGTAATTGTAAATGTGTGCTGTTGTCAATAAAGGTTAAAAAAAGTAAAGTTTTCGTAAGTAATGTTTATACTGGCCTCTCCTAGGGCTTAGTATGTTTTTTTCCCTTAACAGTGTGGAGATGCGGTAAATAATGAGATGAGGAGACAAAGGCAAGTTGTGACTCTCCACACAAAACTGTTTCCAGAGCAAGCAGCAAGCAACTCTCCTTCAAGCCTTTCACTTCTGTCATTTCTTTGAACCAGCCACTTCCCTTCAAGTTACAAGTTCGATCAAAGACTACAAGAGCTTATTTCAGTTCCTGTCATGAGCTTGGAGACCAGTTGGAATGATATTTGAAAAGAAGCATTGCAGTTGCTGTTATGTTAAGCATGTCAAACATGATTAGATACAAAGACACAAGAGCACGTCTATAAAAACTGTGAGCATCTTTGTTATTTTGTGCCAAAATTTCCCCAGTGGCATTTTTCTGGTCAGTGATGATCACGATGAGGGGGATCAAGAATAATGTTGCATGCCAAATTCTATAATGAGCATATCTCCCCACGCAGTTTTACCTCGGAGTGGTCGAGTTTTAACTTGATTGTAAAAACTTGGGACCCCACGTGAATGAAGGCCTGTACAGCTGCCAGAATGCAACTATTTTATTCCACAACCATTTGTATTTTAAACACTTTTGTCTTTTCCTAAATACTGTTTTATACAGATACTATCATCCGAACATCATACATGTACTTTTGTACATGTAAAATAAAAACCTGTGTTTTGTTTATGGTGAAAACTTATTATCCTTCCAAACATGCTCAGTGAATATTAGTACTAGGGCCTCAGAATAATTCAGTTTCAAATAATATCAATCTTTGAGACTTGATTTTATAATGAGGTGTCAAGGTAACATTTCATTCTGATCTTGCGTGCAAAAAAAAACAATACATACAAACATACAAATTTACTAAACATTCAATGCAATTTGAATATTTTGTAAGAGCTCTAATATTTCCACTCATATCAATGTCATTTCAATAAATATCCACAAAATAAGAAAGTAATACAATACAATACATCCTGATTTATATTGCGCTTTCACAACAGCTGCAGCTGTAACGAAGTGCTTCACAAAACAGTTAACAAAGTAGAATAATAAAAAAGCAGTGCTCATGTACATTGTCGAGACTCCATACGTTCCTTCTATAGCTATTTACAAGTGTTTTATTAAACACACACATGCATACAGCATGCACACACAGTTATTCGTCACAAGAAGCAGAGGGGCCCCAAGTCGGCGCTGATCTCAGGGATGTGCGCCCAAGGTGATGTCGTCTCGATCCCCAGATCTCTGATCGGAAGTAACTCCATATCACCTCGATGTAGCTCTGTGCTGCCCCAAACCTTCACAACCATCTCCACCTGCAAGCCGACACGAGAGAGCATGAAACATCAAGTTTGATTTCGTGACACTAGTGGTGTCCAAATGATTCCATTAATCAACAACTAATCGATTATCAAATTAATCGACAACTATTTTAAGAATTGAAAAATCATTTCAAGCCACTGTTTGACTTAAAATTGTCCAGATTCTCTGATTTCAGTCTCTCATCGGCATTCTTGGATTTCTGGAGTCCTTTACGAAAGCAGACTGATTATCTCGAGTTTTAAGTTTATTTTATATATTAGTGACATGACATCCCTAAGTGAATACCTCATGTCCTCGTGTGAACACCGTGGTGTGGTTTGAATGTATGTCTTTGCTGGAGTCTCCAAGTAAGTGGACAAAGTCGCTTGTGCCCTTCTTCGCAGAGTTGTTGGATGTCCATCTGAGCGTCACGCGCTGGAAAGATGTGTGGCTGTGTAATCGTAGAAACCTCAGCTGAACAACATCCACGCCAAGGTAATCAAACTATGGAGCATTCAACACATTCACATTAGCTCCGGGATAGATGCTCAAGTTCCTTTTTTAGTCCACAAAGGTCAGCCTTACCTTGTCGGCACCGCTTTGCTGGCTAAACCACTGGATTGGTGATGTTCTTGATTGGCGCTCTTCTAAATTCCATCTGAATGTGATCTACACAGCAAAACATATCTATATTTTTTGCAGATATCTTTTTTTTTTTTTTTTTTACATGGTTCAGTTCACCAAGAGGTAGAAATTGACATCACGCAACAATGACGGCACCAATAGAGATGGTCTGAAAGACTGAAAATTCTATACAAACTATATTCAGCTGTCGTTATTGCTCATTGGAAAAAAAAAAAAAATCTCCATTTGACACAATCAATTCCTCTTTGAGAACGATGTGTACATATATGGGTGAATTATTTTTGCCTCCAGTTAGGCAGTAAAATGTAGCTTCTTGTGGTTGTCAGTCATGTATTTGTTTACTGATGGCTGTAACAGTTGGAAGTTAGAGTTGTACGATCAAATAAGGTATTTCTAATTTCCCAGCTGTTTCAAATGCAGCATTACAACGATCCATCCATCTTTTCATATTGGTTGCCCTTATTTGGATCGCAGGTGAGCCGGAGTAAATCCTCACTTTTTTTTTCTCTCACTTTTACACCTGCGTACAATTTAGAGTCTCCAATTAACATACATGGTTTGTTAATTGTGGATTGTTTTTAGAAAGCAGGACAAAGCGATTCAAGCCCCGAACTTAATACTATCCTACCATGCTGCCAGCATTCCAACTATATAAAGTGAAAATGGAAGAAAATATGGAATTTGGCTCCTCTTTGCGGCTACAACGGGTTCCACTAGTTCTTTATGATGCATTTGAATGCATCATAAAGAATTTATGCCCAATGATGAACTGAAGAGAGAGCCTGACTATCACACAATGCCGCTTCTGGTGTTGAGTGGGCTGATATCGGTGCTATCCAAGCATCCTTTCATGGACCTTGCAGACTGAGCCACAGTCGTGCTGGAGCAGAACCATAACCCATGATTGATCAAGTAATTCCCAGGATAATGCACATTTATCCTGCATCCTGAGTGATAATGACCATTACCAGGAGTTAGTGACATAATGAAAGTCTTACCTGCGAATGCAATGGGTCGATGCAGGTGCTTCCTCCTGCTGTGAAATTGCAAAACACCCTCAAAGCGTCATAGAGACAACCTTGGTTAGGGTCCATGTAAAAGTAACCTGAAAGATAATGGCCTTGAAAGTTTGCCCATTGCTTACTAGCAGTCCAGCGAGCCGCCATGCAATATGATTAAAAGCCTGCTTGAGCTCTTACCATCATTGAAATGTGGGTGTATGAGACTCAGCTCATAACAAGAGGTGCCAGGGTCGTCTTTTGTGCCTTGGGGCCAGCTGAAAAATTCATCATCTGCCTCATCATCGAGATAGAATTTTGTGTCAGGCTTCACTGGATTTGGCTCCTACAAAGGAATCCATTATTTAGTCAAGTTAAATGATGTTGAAGATGATGGTGATGAACATTCACTCAGCGAGTGCAATAACTTCAGGTGTACAGCTTGAATAGCAGTGGTTGAATCTGTCATCATGGTGGAACTAAAAGTAGAGTAAATGAGAAAAGCTCCTCCCCAGCTGCTTTGCTGCACTGTTTAAGAGTTCGTGTCTATCTTGGCCATGTGGTCTATGGTCACTCTTTGTGTTATAAGGGAATATAAAGTGAAGTTAATACGTGATGCTATTAATTCAGCATTGTGAACCACACACAGCCCACTCTACTCCACTGCAGTCAGGCATAATAAAATGACACTCACAAATAATGCAAATAATGTTTATAGGGGAAAAGTAAAATCTTATACAGGTACCTACTTTTTGTTGTCCTTCCTGTATCTGGAGTGCTGACTTGTGTCTCCTTTCAGGCTCTTCGTTGAATTTTGTTAAGGCTTCTTCTACTCTTTCAGCTGGTATGCCCTCAGATTTTGAATGAGATCTACTTTTGCCTGGTAAACCTGTTTTTCCCTGACAGTGGAAATGACAGTAAAAGCCCTAAAATTGAAAAGTACCATTCACAGCTTCTCATATAGAACTTTTTTTTTTTTTTAAATCTCCAAGTCTTACTGGGGGTCCTTGTTTGCCCTTTACACCCTTTGTTCCACTGGTGCCTTGGATACCTTTCATTCCCTGGAAAGGGTGCAAAAGCCAGGTGATCATTATGCGGGGGTAAAATGATATTTTTACTGGCTGCCCAGTTCATATTAGCAAGATTGATCACAACTGCTAATCTAATGGTGCATTACATTAGCCAAACAAAGTGGAAATGTTATAATTATGATCCTCCCCTAAAAACTATGATGGAATGAATTGTTAGACGCTGACCTGAGTAGGACACAAAAAAAAAAATTAATCACAAACCCTCACCTTCTTTCCAATTTGGCCCTATAGGAAGATCGAACAGGGTTAAATGCAAATATTTCAAGTTGCTATTTCCAAGAAAAAAAGTTAGCACTTTAAAATAAGGGTGCCCTCATTAAAGGCTCATACTCGAGTTATTAACTGATTTCTTTAAATGTATTGAATTAAAAACAAGGCTCCCTTTTGACAGTCATAAAGGAAGGGAATCAAACTTGCGTTTGAATGAATTTGCCAAATAGTTAGAAAACGTGTTTATTTCAAATTGCTCATTAATGATTTGTAAATAGTTTAGTCAGTCAAACCCTTTCATTGTATTTATTCAATTATTGATACATTCATTCAACCCAGCCGCTGGGGGGCAGTGCCCTCCCCTGGGGGTGCACTGTTCCCCAGTGCCGGTCCCAAGCCCGGAGAAATGGGGAGGGTTGCGTCAGGAATGGCATCCGGCGTAAAACTTTTGCCAAGACGACCATGCGAGTTGGTAGGACGGTTTACAGGGGCGGATGGAAATTACTGACTCGCTGTGGCGACCCCTGAATAGGGACGTGCCGAAAGGAGAAGAAGAAGAGGAAGATTGATACATTCATTCAGTTATTCATTTGTTTAATGTATGTTAGACTGTATCCTGGTTTTTAATCTGTTTGAGTATTTTCGACAGTTTTGGCAGTGATTTTGTTATTTTTACATTTTCAGAGTTTATTGAGCACATGAGAGGTTTATACAATTTTCCTCGCGAATGATGACGTTTCCTGGCAGTTTTTTTATCCTATGTCTTGTTTGCACTCTATTCCACAGGTGTCAAACTCAAGGCCCCGGGGGCCAGATCTGGCCCGCCACATCATTTTATGTGGCCCGCGAAAACAAATCCAAGATGTCAACTTTCATGATGCTTCCTAACATCGCAACCAAAATTTCAAATTCTTATTCGGAATAAATAAGAGTGACACTGTAAGCATTTTCTTGTTTTCAAAACCCTCATTTCAGTATCTTCAACAGTAGGTGAATAAACCGTCATTTTTGACTTCTTTATATGGTTTCAGTCATAACAACCCTCCAAGGGAAACTACCTAAAATCTGGACCGCAACAAAAGTGAGTTTGACACCCCTGCTCTATTCTATCTACTATATTTAAGGTCACCCTTATTGTAAAGTGGAAACAAGAAGTCCTTTGAAACATAACTTACAGAGTGCCCAGGGGGCCCTTTTCGTCCAGATGGACCACGAGGTCCAGTATCCCCCTGTGAAAATCAACCCACTCACCAGTCATACACAAAACTAACATGAACTAAAATAAAATAAAAATGTACCTGCTTCCCCTTATGCCCTGTTACACCTTTTGCACCTTGCAGACCAAAATTCCCCTAAAATGATGACAGATCAAGTCAACATCATCACTCTATTCAATCTAAAAGTTGATGTTTTGCTTAAAATGATTTAAGCCACCTTTATCCCCGCTGGACCAATTGGACCTGGAAACCCTCTCTCACCCTGGAGACCCTGTGAGCGAGCATGAAATAGATGGGCGGGGCTGAAAATTGCTCTTTTGACAACCAATTATAGGTTGGTTGGATAAATCTACCTTGGGACCTCTTATTCCCATATTGCCCTTCTCTCCTGTTAGTCCAGGGATACCCTGGATCAAAAACAGTTTTTATACAGCGCATGTATTTATGTTATGGTAACACTGACATCAAAATCACAATTTGAAATAATTCCTCTACCCTCGGCCCCATCGGTGTGGGAGGTCCTCTTTCTCCTGCCGGTCCAGTTTCGCCCTAAAAGAGTGAGTTAGACATGGTATACTGTTGGGAGTACCGGGATTTTGTTTCGTGCCTGTCCCCTATTCTGTTACGGCCCATTTAATTCCATCTACAAACTCCACTGTTGACAGTGCTTACCTTAATGCCTTGTTGTCCAGTGTTTCCTCTCAGACCAGGTGGTCCAGGTGTTCCCTAAGATATTAAAGATGAAATTTATATTTTTCATGAAAAACGTTTGCCCCCTCCCCCCCCAAAAAAAAGAGGTCAAAAGTAACATAGTGTTGTGTTTACTATGTTTTACCTGTTTACCAGGCCTGCCCGGTGGTCCAGGTTCTCCTTTGGGGCCAGTATTTCCCTTTGGAGAATACTTTAACTCAGTTTTTGGAAAATTATTGAATATTACATTTAATAGAATGACATATTTTGCTTACCGGATAACCTTCATTACCCTGAACTCCGTGTAGTCCGTCCAAACCATCCAAACCCTGAAGATAAGACAGTCACCAGCAGTGCACATCTGTTTATTTGCTTTGATTTGTGCATAATGTTTGTATGTATTGCATTTACGGATACTTGCAGGTATTCCACGTCCCCCGACAGGTCCTCGGTCACCTGGAGGGCCTTCAGCTCCCTAGTAAAAAACACCTCGTTAGATGACACATTCAAGAAAAGTGGACGTTTCTTCTTTATTCTTTCACGCATCATTTAATTCTCATTGAAACGTTTTTTTTTAATAGAATTTCAGGAAGAAGTCAAGGACAGATCATTTCATGATATATTATAAAAACAGGGCAGACAGAACAAATTGCTTTGCAGGAGTTATGGTTATTAGTTTTTAAAAAATAAATAATTTGTCATATTTCATGTTATTCATTTTCTTTATTAATATGCTGTCTGACTCACAGTTTTTCCTGGCGCTCCTTTGTTACCCTTATTGCCAGGTTGACCTGACAATCCCTTTAAAAAGAAAACATTCACATTATGGCGCACAACATCTCAACAAATCAATTCAATGGACTGGAACACGAGCATTGTCATTTTCTCACAGTTGTCCCGTGAATTCCTTTATGTCCAAGGGGACCAGGAGAACCACCGGGTCCAGGCCGACCTTTAGAACCAGTAGGGCCAATAAAGCCAATCCTACCCAGCCTACCCTGAAAAAACCCCAACAAACAAACAAACAAACAAACAAACAAACAAACAAACAAACAAGCAAAAAAAAAAACAGTTGTGCTCTTTGTATGTATGTAACGTATGATTATCAATTGATATATTATGTGAAATCAAATATCTCACCATTGTGCCCTTAGTTCCTGGTTCTCCTTTTGCTCCCATTTCACCCTTTATTCCCTGTGTAATTCACGAGGTTGTTTACCAAAAAAAAAAAAAAAAAAAAAAAAAAATGCAAGTGCGTCACTGTAGTCATAGTAAGTAGATAATCAATAAAGTATGCTTGTCCAGATTGATGTGTGCATCACATTGTGAAACCTCACCATGTGTCCTTTAACGCCCGGAGGACCAAGTTCGCCCCCCTTTCCACTGCTACCCTGATTAGCATAAAAACATTCAAAACAAAATGGAATCAGACACCAGCTGATCATACACATAATATTTTCCAACAAATGTTGTATTTCACCTTTGGTCCAGTATTCCCAGCATTGCCATCAGGGCCCATCTTGCCTGGAAAACCCTAACATACAACAACAACAAAAATCTAAAAAAAAAATTATCTCAAATATTGATAATCAATTAAAATGTTAAAACAAATGGTACACACTGCAGGTGAGCAAATAAACATCTCCAACCATTTAAACGTCTCAGGAAATACGAGAAGGAAATACGAGACTTGAACTTTTTCTTCCGGAAAAATACATTGAATACTTAATAGATATTGCACGGCAACATTTATGATGGTAATGTGCCTCAAAGAAAAACAAATGAACTGCTTCCAGTTGGTATATTAGAATTGGAGAAACCAGAGTGCGTGAGGAACAGTTTACAATAGTTCAACATTGATCACGATGACAAACTCAGCTGATAGTAGATGACGTAAAATGCTGTTCAATTGTGGGCAGGCACACAGAGTGAAACATTCAAACTTATCTAAGCCTTACCGGTGTTGATGGACCGATAAGGCCAGGGAGTCCGATGCGACCACGGGAGCCCTGAAATGAGAGAATGTAAAGTTGAAGTCGAAAAAATAATCCAGGTCACATCATTTCTAACGTAGGTTTTTGATGCAGCTTTGTACAAGGCTTCAAATGTCACCGACCTTCACTACTGCTTTTCATACACACTGCTTGAGCATATGAATTGTGAATATTTTCTAGAAGGTGTACAAAAAGTGATTCATGCATGTGCAAAGTACTCCTAAATAAGGAGATTTTTGCAGATTTCTCGCTTAGCTTTACACTAAACCAAGACTCAGGGACAAAGTATTGTGAAACAGGACTGGAAACACTCTGAATATGCCAATAAAAACACGACACTAACTGTGTGTCCCTGAAGACCCTTCTGTCCTTTGCTTCCGGGTTTTCCAGTGTCCCCGCCTGGTCCAAACTGTCCAAGCATTCCTTGGAGACCCCTTTGGCCTGGCGCACCCTGGAAAAACACTTTCATTTTCAACATCATAGTCTCAACCCAAACCTCCAAAGACTGTACTAACCATGAGTCCAGGAGATCCCTGTTTGCCTCTGTACCCTTGTGTTCCAGTATGCCCCTGTGAGATGGGACACAAAAGAGAGCCAGTGGCGATTAATGAAAAAAAAAAAAAACAATATGGGACAATATCATTGCAGTCTGTAGGACTGAAAGGTATACAACACTGTTTTATTCAATGTATTTTTTATTGGGCTATGTGTCTTATAGCATATCTTACTCTTATATGCTGCTACTGTAAAACTGAATGTTCCAATTGTGAGACTATTTTATTGCATTCTATGAAAAAAGAAAACACATAAATACAGGAACTATTCCGCACTACATGGTTATGGATACTACATTTTATGTTCACTGGTGAGAATATTTTAACTCCCATTAATGAAACATCAAGTGTTTGAGATGTGTTTTAACAACCTGCTTTCCTTGACGGCCCTTTAATCCTTGAGGACCTCGGGCACCTTGGTCACCCGCAGCCCCCTTTGGACCTTTCTGACCAGGGGGCCCCTTGCTTCCTTTATCACCCTAAAATAAATGTCATCAACATACTTGTGTATGTGCATGCATTAGATTAATCTGCACACATTTATTTACAGCACATGAACTCACTGATGTGCCGTTTTGTCCAGGTGATCCCTCAGCCCCTCTATGTCCAGGTGGACCCTAAGAGGAAGGTTCGGATTGAAGACGACTTTGACAAAAGATACAGGCCACTCAGACCTATACCGTCAGCTAAAGCTTATGGACTAGAACTACAGATTTATTAGTAACCTTTCCCATTGAAATTGGGAGAGAGGATAATTATTAGTCACACAACTGAAAACAACACAGTCATAATCTATCTACCTCCTCACCATCGAGCCCGGCAGGTCCTTCCTCTCCGGCAATTCCTTTAGTTCCCTAAAGAAATATAATAATACCACAGTGAATCCCCCACAAAAAAGTACGTATTTATCATAACAATATTCAAGCACAATCAGCAGAAAAAGGCTACCTTGCCACCTTTGACTCCAGGTGGGCCAATTGATCCTTGAGGTCCATCTTTACCCTTAACATAAAAAAATAAAACATCACTCTGCTTCCTGCTTCCTAGATTTTTACTGTATGTTTGAAATGGAATGTTTCTACTTATGACATTTTTCTTTTTCTCATTTTTCTGGCATTTTTTTTTTCATAGATGTTAATAGAGAGGCCACTATTGAATGTACAGTACACATTTAACAAATGATACTATAGTGCACTGAACCATTGGTTTTAATTAAATAAAAAACATTTGAACTATTCAAATGCAAATGTATCACCAGTTTTAAAAATACTCAGTGAAATTCTAATGTCAAGGGTAAAAAAAACAGACTTACAGGATACCCTATGACACCAGTGGGGCCAACAGCTCCTCGCGACCCCTGTTCACCTGGATGGCCTCGTGGACCAACCTCACCCCATGTTCCAATGTTACCCTGTGTACCCTGCGATCAGAGGAAAACCCAAAGGGATTTATTATTATTATTATTGTTGTTACACAGTATACTGTATGATTTTCTCCATACAAGTGGAAATTATTGCATTTAATTAAAAAAACAATATATCCATAGAATTAAATATTTTAAGTAAAAGTAAATACATGTAAACGTAAATAAGACACACCGCAGAGAGGTGTGTTGTTACAAAGTGCCAAATTAGCAAGAATACAGAAAAAAAAAAATCAATGAATAGTTGGTAATTATCATACTGCAGGTCCTGTGTGTCCTCGTGGTCCTGCCATGCCCATCTTGCCCTGAAAGATTTTGGGATGTGATATTCATGAAGACACAGCAAAGACAATATCTTACATGATGTAATTGTTTTTTTTTTTCAAAAATAAAGTTTAAAAAATAAAAAAATGGAAAATACACATGGTAAAATTATACTGGTAATACATTTGAAAATAACACTATATAGATGCTTACTGAAGGACCAGGTTTCCCTCTTGGCCCCTTTTCACCTCTCTTGCCCTTCCCAACAAAGAAAAAAAGGCATTGAAATGAAGCATAATGTCAACTCAATCACGATACGGAGAAATAAAATCTAAATGCAGTGAACTTGGCTTGAATTACCTTGTCTCCTTCCATCCCTAGCCGTCCCTTAAGTCCTTGTTTCCCTTTCGTCCCCTAGAACAATATTTTCAACAGTATGTAACATCGTCTCCCTTTCAAACCAATTTGTTATTTAGGATCCCAAGTATTGTAGTTTCTCACTCTCTTTCCCATTGTCCCGGGTATTCCATTCAGTCCTGTACTTCCAGCTTCTCCCTGGAAATAAATATTGCATGCTTACATAGATGGTGAAATGTGAATGTAAAAGTTGCATATTGCTGTCTAAAGCACTCACATTCATCCCTACAGGTCCCTGTGGGCCACTTGCTCCTGTCTTCCCTGAAAATCCCTGGCAAATGTTAGCATGGATTAAGACTATTTTCACATTCGTTGTGAACATTCATTTCATGGTTTGGCACACCGCTCTTAATTTCAGGACAATAAACTCACTTTTGGACCTGGAGATCCGGTGTCTCCGGTTATTCCGTTTGTACCAACAGGTCCCTAAGGGAAATAATTCTTGTCATTGATTATTATAAGACCAATATCAATGGAAAGCAATCGAAATGCGACTAGTTTTACCATGGCTCCATCAATTCCATCTTGTCCTCCAGCTCCCGAATAACTTCGTAAACCCTAACAAGGGAAACCAATCCTTTTTTAAGAGGAAATTAGAAGACTTCATTCTAATCAGAAGATCTTGTCAATTGCCACCAAGATTACCTTGAGGCCTTTTGGCCCACTTTGACCTGGTACTCCTGGCCTTCCCTGGACAGAAATGTTACAGAAGCATTAATTAAAAAAAACAAATCCAACATTCATGTCATATTATATTGGTTTTGTTAATACAGTACATAAGCATTTATAACTATTATGAAATGCAGACTGTAAATAATCTAATAAAGTATATGAAGCAGATTTATAATTTTATTATTTATATATATATTTTTATTATATAGTGTTTTATATGATCAGATAACAATAAAGTTTGCTTTAAATAATGTAGAAAAAACATTGCTTTGTAATTAAAAATATGTTGCATAAAATCTCTGTGGAATTGGAATAAGTCTAATCACTCAAAGCAGGATACAATTTTATTATTATTATTATTTTAATCTTCTGCCATTTTCCAATACACCGTGCAACCTCTGGTATGCTTATGACTCGAAATGCCTTGCAGCACAAAAAACTACAAAAAGCACACTGGGCTGAATGTATCAATGGGATCAGGATGAGGGTTGCTTAAGTTAAATTTTCAAAGTGTCGCTGTTTTTAAGGAAACCATTTTTATTCAAGAGGAAACGAAGGTCTGCAGTACGGATCGAGCAATCTTTTTTTTTGTAGCTAATGCTAATGTGATGAAAGATGAGTAAAAGTCGATTCGTGATATTTATATATATTTTTTTGTATAGTACAGTGGTACCCAACCTTTTTAAACCACTGGTGTCACATAAAGCCGGACAAATGTGGTGATGCCCTTGCGGGTTATTTAATAATAGAAAATGTCATTAGCACAGAGTTGTTTGACCAATTGCAGGGCACATATCGTGTCAGAGAAAAACAACAATTCATATTCACATGCACACATGTGGACAGTTTAGTGTCTTGAACCTAACATGCATGTTCGTTGTTTGTTTTAAAAGAATTGCATTTTCACAAAAATCCTTGTTTTAAGTGTGCGAGTGAAGCTCAGAATAAGAAGTTTAGACACATAAGAACCTTAATACCAGGTTCTCCTTCATGCCCTTGTTCTCCAGATTTTCCTATCTCTCCCTGCAAGAAAACAGAACCAAAACAACCAAATGTAACTTCTATTTGACAATAAAGATATGCCCCAAGAAAAACAATGCTTTGTGGTGTGTTGTACTCACAGAAAAGCCAGGCATTCCTGAAAATCCTGAGCGACCCTCTCGACCCTTTGAGAAACATTCACATGATTTATTGTGCCATATTTATGAAGAAGTTCAACTGTTGTCCTTTTGTGGCCAGAAATGATTGGGGAATAACGAAACAGGGATGTATCTATTCAAAACAATTACGGTATATAAAGCAGAGCTGTTTACATTCATCATTATTTAACTGTATAATTTTGCTAAAACTACATCAATTAAGTCATTTAATATAAGGCATCCATTCTTCGTGCAATTCCCTCAGTTGCATTGCTGTCAAATAAATGTGACACTAAAATTGGCTGTTTTTCATACAAACATGATCAATATTTCAGCTGTGCATATTCATTGTCCAACCTTGTCTCCTCGTGGTCCAGGAGTTCCCTGAATGCCCGTAGGCCCCCTATCTCCCTGCAAATACACACATTAGCTTAATTAAGGTCATGCAAAACATGTCCATGAAGTCATGAGTTGCACAACTTCCCTCAACAGACCTTTGACCCATCTTTGCCTTGCTTGCCTTCCTCTCCCATGATACCATCAATTCCCTGGAGATAAAACCTGATTGTTTTAGAGTTTCTAACTCGAACATCGCACACTGTCATCTGTCAGTTTATACCCACGCTGGGTCCATCAAGTCCCGCTGGTCCCGTTGGCCCTCCAATTCCCTCAAGTCCCATTGGGCCCCGACGTCCCTTATATCCCGGTTTACCCGGAGGCCCTGGTGGCCCCTGCGCAAAAACAGAACAAAAGATGTTGAACCTTTATCAAGCTTGTCAGTGAATTAAGGAATTACTGGAACAGTAAAGCAGGAATCCAGTTGATCTGAAACAATAACCTACCACGTCTCCCTTAAATCCTGGATCACCTCGTTGACCACGCGTGGCTTTATTTCCCTGGATAATTCCCAACACACACAAAAAACGAGAGACAAAAAAAAAGGGCGGTCCTTTTTAGCAAAACACAAAAACATTTAAACAGAACATGAAAATGACATAACTTTAAACATTTTAGTCAATAGTGAAATTGCTTTAAATAATCTTACGGGATCACCTGAGGGTCCAGGCAATCCTGGATTCCCATTGGCTCCCTGAAATAAATGACGTGAAAACCACACTGAGTTTGAAGTGTCTTAAAACGAATGAATTAATCAATGTTTATTTAACTGTCTTGTTATCTTACATAAAGACCGTCAGGTCCAGGTTCCCCGATGTCTCCTTCATCTCCAGGACCACCCTAAAAAAAAAGCACAATGACTCATACTGTGCGTATATAGTGACTGGAAATTAATTATCACCGTTTGGGTTGCTATACTCACAGGGTCTCCCTTTGGACCTGGAGGTCCAACAGGTCCGGGGTTCCCCTGGGGAAAAAATGTTATTTTAAAAAAATAAAATAAAATAAAAGACAAAAAGTGCCAAGGTATAACTTAAAATAAAGGCGCCTCACATGGATCGTCTATAATTCAAAACCCCAAAGTTAGAAACATAATATTGAATTACATGTTCCGTTGATGTACAGCGGAACCACTAAATTCGAATGCTCTTGAAGTTTCACAAACCTGATAAAAATTCTCTGGAAAAAAAAATGTCTGTGAAAACAGGGGCGGCCAAACATTAGCACTCAAAGGAGACATTTGATTTTTAAGATGGCGAGATGGGCCAGGTCATTTTTAGATGAGGTTAAAAGAGATTAAATAATGTAAAATATGTAAAATAGTTGAGATAATTTAATAATAAATAGTTGCTCATGTTTAATTTACCGATAATTAATGATAATTAATTACCAATAGTTTGCATTTTCTCCGTGCTTGTGTGGTTTTCTCCAGGTCAAGTCATGGAAAAAATTATAACACCTTCTTTTCTTCAATCTCTTATTTAATGCAGGATACCACTAAAGGTGTGTCATGTGACATACATAAAGCAAAAAATGCACGGAGGGTCCTATTTTCAAAAGTCTATCCCAAAATGCAGTGCAACTGTGAGCATGATGTCGTTTTTTTTCCTTCTGATATTTTCATAGATAACACATTTAGAAAGGGGCGTTTGCGCTGTTGTGGGAGTGAATGTAGCCGACTTACTTCCCAGCCAATCATTCCATTTAAAGTCAGGAGGTGTGTCTTTGAGATTGTGGAAGGAGAAATAGATTCACTGGAATCCATGCAGAAGATCAAAATGCGCAAAAGTTGACCCGAGCGATCACATAAAATCACTGCTGTGAAGTGGACCCTTCGAGACCGCAAGGATCGTTCGTGTCTGTGTGAAAACAACCGCGCCCAAAGCCGCATATCTGTGTCGGTCGCAAGGAGTGTTTTAAAAATATCGTGCGCTAATGTATTATTTTTTTGGCTGGTTTATTATTTTCATACTTGTATGACGGTTAAAACCGCTGCTATTTTAGTCCCTGGGATGAGCAAGATTTGACACTGCGTGTATATTGCCTCGACACTTTGAGCCATCCTTCCATCCTTCAAAGTACCCCAAAATTTGAGAATCATGGGAAAAGACTGCTGCTGAGAGGATTCACTGTACGTCCAAATCAGTGTACTGAATATGGTTGTACATCTTAGTTTTACCTGAGGTCCACGTATTCCCGGAAATCCAACTGTTCCGACAGGGCCAGGCTCTCCCTAAAGACAAAACATTGAGCGATAGGTGAGTTCGATGTGCTGTTGTTTGACAGGATTAAGAATCTATTAACAAAATGTTCATTTTGGTTCATCACCTGTGGTCCAACTGCTCCTCTAAGACCAATTTCACCTTGTTGACCCTGACAACAAACAGTCACCTCATGAATATCTTACCAACCATTTCTGGTTTCTGACTAATATTAAGACTTCTGGTTGTGAACTTACAGGAGGTCCCTTTACTCCTGGGACACCTTTTCCACCTCTTGGGCCCATTTTGCCCTATGAAGTCACATTAGCTCATGGTTATTAACACAAACCAAAATAATCAGTGAATCTTCAGAAAATTAAAGGCTGAAAAGCCTCCTACAGTTGGACTTAGAAGTTGTTTTTTTCGAGAGGACAGTCTATTTAACGCTATGTTAAATGCAGAAGAAGAACTTAATTCCCACTCCATTTTTTGACATACGTACACGTGGGCCTGGTGGTCCGCCAAAGCCTATTGCACCACTCGGTCCCTGGAAACATTCAAAAGCATATTTTTTTTCTGATCATGTACTGTATAAAATACAGAACTGTTATGATAAGTGACTTCTGAGAAAAGAAAAACAACACAATTCACACAAACATTAAAAAAAACATCAAATGAAAGCAACAAAACAGAAAGTAAAAACCGCAGCCAACCCAGTTATTGGCAATATCCATCCATCCATTTTCCAATTCGCGTATCCTCACAAGGGGGTGCTGGAGCCTATCCCAGCTGTCTTCAGGCAGTAGGCGGGGGACACCCTGAACCGGTTGCCAGCCAATCGCAGGGCACACAGAGACGAACAACCATCCGCGCTCACACTCACACCTAAGGACAATTCAGAGTGTTCAATCAGCCTGCCATGCATGTTTTTGGAATGTGGGAGGAAACCGGAGTACCCGGAGAAAACCCAAGGAGAACATGCAAACTCCACACAGGGAGGCCAGAGCTGGGATTGAACCTGGTACCTCAGCACTGTGAGGTCGACGCGCTAACCACTGGCCCACCGGGCTGCCCTCATTGGCAATACATGTTTGAAAAGTTCACTCATTATATGTTCCAGTTGTCACTGACCCGGGATCCTGATCTTCCGGGGAAACCTGGAGGACCCCTCGCTCCTGCTGCTCCCTTCAAACAAAAGACAGATTAGGATTTTGTTTGACTCATTGGACATATAAACACGCAAGAAAGATATAAAACAAAAAAAAAAAATGAAAAAAACGCACAGGATCATCTACACATGTCTTAGTTCAGCGCAGTTTATATGTTCAAAGTGAGTAGGAAGAACTAGAGCACCTATCTAGTCCTACCCTTTCTCGCGACAAATTATTAGGTTACTCATATAGGGTAATTTATCTTTAAAAAATGTATTGTGAAGTATCTAGAATGTACCAATATGAGAAAATGGTTTGAGGGGGTGAGTGTAAACTTAAACAACCAAAAAAGCTTCTTTGGCTTAATGGATGCTTGCTTTTTTTCCCCACTCTTGGTCTCTGTTCCTGCCACTTGACTTCCCTCCTCCGGAAAACATCTCCAATGGGCTAATTTCAGCAAGATCGAAACATGGTGTGTAAAGTGTGCTATAATTGTTGACTCTCTGGGGGTTTTAACAAAGCATGCCGCAGACATGTTATTGAGACAGCTGGGAGATGTTTTAAATTGTTTAAAAAAATAAAATAAAAATCACACTATGTCTTTTAAGCACATGTTAAAAGTTGTCTTACCAAGTAACCAGGAATCCCAACGATACCTCTGACGCCTTTATTCCCCTGGTTACAATATATGAAAGATGACATTCACCAAATCACAGCAATACATAAGTGCGTGGTGGATATTCTCTTCAACCTTGTTTCCTTTTCGACCTCGATTGCCTTGTGGTCCAGGCTCCCCTTCATAACCCTGAAGGCAATGAAAGCACATTATTAATCAGCAAAATTCAATAAAAGGCATTATTTTTGCTGTCTTATCATACACATCTCATAGGAACAAGTAACAGGTTCTCAGGTGGTTCATCCTTTTTGTGAGAACTCTTTGAACGCTGGAAGTTCAAGACATTCTTACCCACTCACCCAGCTCCCCTTTGCTGCCTTGATCTCCATTGTAGCCTTGGGGTCCCTAAAACAGGCAATACATTGAAAACAAAAATCTCATATTCACCTTGACAAAGTAGGTAACCTGGAGCATAATACCGAAGTGCCCATTTTCAAAACGATAATCTCATTTACTTGTTTCGGAGAGATACCTGTTCTCCAGGCAAGCCTGGGGGTCCTGGTTCTGCATTCTCCCCGGGAGTTCCATCATTGCCTGGCCGACCCTGTGGCCCTGGCATACCTTGTGGCCCGGGGACACCCTGAGGCACAAAGCGCAAAATATGACAGAGGTTGTGAATATACGACAGTTTTATTTGAATGATTATTTTATTTGAAGTAAAGTGTTACCTACAATTTTTCCTTGAATTCCTTTCCGGCCTTTCTTCCCAGGATTTCCAGGTAACCCCTTTGAGAAAAAATTTGACACATTCTTCAGCTTTTGAATAGCTGTGATATGATTTTTTTTTTCAGGGATCTGAAAATTCTTCCACACCAAACTGAGCCAAGTAAGGCTTTGTGGAATAGAAAAGTTTCTTCTTCAAAGATTTCTCCCAAAGTTGAAAGCAGAGAATTGGTTCTCAACTCAACTCTATTTATAGAGCACATCAAAACCAACCATCGCAGCACACAAAGTGCTGCACATGGAGTAAACATTAGACATGCAAAAACAGTCAGTTAAAACGGTAAATTCAGAATATAAAAAACGCAAATTCCATCAAATTAATGCATTTCTTTTCATTTAAAAAAGGAAAGTTGGTATTAGATATAACAAATACTCATAGATCAAGGACACACTATATTTGAATAAATAAATACATTCTTATACGGCTACTTACAACTGGTCCCATATTTCCACGAGGTCCAGGAGGTCCTGAAGGCCCCTTAAGCTTCTGAGGTAAAAAAACAAACAAACAAACATGCAGAATTAGGATAAACAAATAATAGTGAACATGTTGTTTCACTTTCTCAAGTCAAACACAAACTGGCCATGAAGAAATCAGCTGAATGTAGTTTTTTTTTTTCCTATGAGGAAATGAGACGAAATAACTGTCATTCTTCCAGCTGGCATCACAAGTGGCTCACATTACTATCCAGCGCAACAGAAGCAGTTTTAAGCTTGAATACCTCCCACTCCTCCTCAGATGTTTCAAATACAACAATAGTGGGCATCCCAGGTGGACCAACGGGGCCCATGTGTCCAGTCTGTCCAGTTCTTCCCGTCATGCCTTGATAACCCTATGAGGGGGAAAAAAGAAAGAAAAAAAGAAAATATATTATGCACTCAATTATTGTCATTGTTTGTACATTTTGCATAATGACACAGCGCAAATTTAGTATGTAAACTGTAAGTTATGACCACATACAGTAAATTCCACGACAGAATCGAACTGGCACTGAGTGGAAACTGAACCCACACTGCTTGCACCAAAAATCAGGTGCGTAAGTCACTTTACAATTAGTTCGATAAAACATAATTCAAAGTGATTTTGACTGATGTTTTTAATCCATCACCTACTTTGTCTCCTTTTGGTCCTGGAAGTCCTGGTAGACCTGGTGGACCCTGTAGGCCCACAGGAAGAAAAAAAAATACACAATACAATTAATAAGTGTAAAAAAATGATTATTAGTGATTATAATAGTATTTACAGAAAATAAATATTAATATATATAATATAATAAATGTCTTACTAATACAGTACATATAATATCATCATAGTATTATTGTTAAATAGTAGTTCAGGAATGAAAATAACAGCAACAGCAATATTTCTCTTTCGTTCTTTCTTCCTTCATTCCTTCCTTCCTTTCAAAACGTTTACAGTACTTATTACAGTCCGTCAAGGGGAAATGCAGCATACACTATACTGTATATTTTGTGTTGCTCACCACTACTACTACTACTATTTAAAGTAACGGTAATTGTAACAGACTGTTATTTACATCACGTAGGTGTATATTATTGAAATATATATTCACACATTGTATTATTTTGAATCCAAGGTGAAATACCACAATTTAGCCACAAGAGGGTGCCATTTCACATCTCTCTTGCTCGCTCCTTGCTCACACGCACACGCACACGCACACACACACACACACACACACACACACACACACACACACACACACACACACACAAGCTATTCCTCTTCAAAGTACAGTAGAGTAGTTCCTTTCAAACAGAAATCCTTTTCACTCTACCATCCATATATGAAATAAAATTGCAAAGCATAAAATTACCATTTGACCTTGGGGCCCTGCTCCGAGTTGTTGTCCATCGGGATGTTGGTTAATCGTTGTAGGAGCATTCAGTGGCGATTCATGCTGTGATTGGAGCGCTTTTCGAGGGATCGATGTAATAATATTGTTAGTTGGCGGCTCATGTTCCTCAGAATGTTGACTATAATTACTGGCTTCTTCCGCCTCCTTCTTTCCTCTCAAGTCTTCATCGCTGTCTGTTCCAGGAAGCTCTTGCAGTCTTTTTTCAGTTTCTGTGTCCCGCTTCTCTTCCACTTTCTTGTTGGGTTGTTCCTCAGCCACCGTTTCTCCTCCAAGTGTACTTCCTGCTTCGCTGCTGCTGGAAGTGGGAGTAGACACATTTAGGCTTGGGACATCCAAATGCTCCCCTGCCTTTCTCTCATTAGACATTTCTCCTCCTTTTGCTCTGAAGACCGAGATAGCAGAGACTAGCGGTTCCTCTGTTGGAAGAGACGATTCTCCATCTTCAGCTGATAAATGGCTGCTGGTTGCCACATTCCCAAAGTTCATGGTGGTGTCTCTAACCTGTGCAGAGCTCACTGAACTTGTTGATTCTGATGAGGGACCTGACACTGTAGGCCGTTCTGGTTGAACGTCAGGACTTGAAGTAGCTGTTCCGTAATTTTCCAAGGGTGACATGTCCTTCTCAAGTGCACCAGATGGAAGAAGAACTTGCGTAAAATCCTGATTGGATGAAAGAGTTGGCGTCCCTCTCCATAGGGGATGCATTAATAAAGCATCCGGTTCATTATTGCTATCTTCCTTTTGCTCCCTACTCAGAGTTTTCATTTTGATGGTTCCTAGATCCACTGGGGTCATCTCAGTGGATTTAGGATGTATGTTCACACCTTCAGAGTTCTGATGTCCAACTAATATCTGGGTCATGTGGTATGATGGAGTCGTCACCTGATTGAACATGCCAACCTCCTGAAAAAGTTGGACACAAAAAAAAAAAAGAGTGTCACTTAAAGTGGCATCAAACCCAAGAATGTCTTTTACAAGAATATAGTATGTGTGCCGGCACTAGTCAAAACACGGCACTCAAATTAATATTGCGATCATGGAATAAGACTTAAATGTACTAATTGAACAATTCACATGGCTTCATCGACCAGAAGTAACGTTGAAGCGACCCTACTGCTTTGCCTGCTGTACTTGAGTAAGCCTGGTTTGTTAAAAAGGGATCGGTAGGAATAGTGTCCAGTTGTAGCATTAAAGACCATTGTGTACATTTTTTTAGCCTTTGAAAAATATTAATAATAATAATAATAATACATTTTATTTATAAGCGCCTTTCAAAATACCCAAGGACACTTTACAATCAAAAGAGCAATAAAACCACAGATCAGGGATCTGAAAATTCTTCCACACCAAACTGAGCCAAGTAAGGCTTTGGGGAATAGAAAACTTTCTTCTTCAAATATTTCTTCCAAAGTTGAAAGCAGAGAATTGGTTCTCAACTCAACTCTATTTATAGAGCACATCAAAACCAACCATCGCAGCACACAAAGTGCTGCGATGGTTCCCCTGTCACGAGCCGCTCAGAGCTCCAGTGGCTAGCCACAAGCTGCTAACGACAGCAACTAGCGTGAAAAACTGTATTATCTATTTTCAAAACAATGACAAGTGAATTCTAGGATAAATATATGAATTTATGACCTGTACAATCAATGTACAGTAAAGTCACACATTTGCATGTCATACATGTGTCAAGTGAAGTTTACCACGGTGTGGTAAAAAGTAAAACTACTTTGGGGACACCAACAAAAAGTAAATGAAGATACGGTTACCTCCATTGCAGGAATAAATAATGCCTTGCACGTCATAGTTTTGCAGGTACTGCACTCCAAATTATGTCATCTTTCGTGTGTTCAACTTCCACTGTTGTTGTGACAGTGCCTGAGATCCTGCTACTTAGTCACCAGTATGACTCACACAGACATTTCTAACCTTTCATTCTGTAAGCCAAACATGGCAGAAACAACGCTTATAAAGTATATCTGTAGGGCGGCCTGGTGGTCCAGTGGTTAGTGTGTTGACCTCACAGGTCTGCGTGGGTTTTCTCCGGGTACTCCGGTTTCCTCTCACATTCCAAAAACATGCATGACCGGCTGATTGAACACTCCAAATTGTCCCTAGATGTAAGTGTGAGTGCGGATGGTTGTTCATCTCTGTGTGCCCTGCGATTAGCTGGCAACCAGTTCAGGGTGTCCCCCGCCTCGTGCCCGAAGACGGCTGGGATATGCTCCAGCGACCCGTGACCATTGTGAGGATAAAGCAGTTCAGAAAATGGATGGATGGAAGTGTATCCATAGCATAATACAAAACTATCCACTTTTTGCTGCATTTTTGTTTGGTGGTGTGCCGTGAGATACATGGTCATCTAAAATACGCACCGAAACTCCATAAAGCTTGGTAAAGACTGACTCCTTATACTTGCACAAAGATCATTTTAAGACATTTCTTCCAATATCATTGCTCAGTCAGAAACAACTGCTTTTAATATAACATGTATTTGCAACTATAGAATCCACTGTACTACCCAAAAATATCTTACAAAGTCAGCACAACATAAAAAGGACAACTTTGTGAATATTACCGAGCCATACAGAGGGTCTTTTCATCAACCGTGAGATAAAAACAACCACCTTGCATGCGCGTATGAGGTGCAGTTCGAGTCCGAAACAAACTGCTTTTGAGAATGTCAAAATTGCCTGAGATAAACTCTTTCCAGACACACAGACAGACAGACAGGAGCTCTGCCATCTCAAACACTTGCAGACACTGCGAGATGGTAACTGTGAAGTCATGTCCCTCTGCACTAACATGTCATGAATAAACAGCACATCCAACACACACGTGCGCACACACAGTATATATCAAATGTATGTTGTAGTGCCCGATGCATGAGACAAAATGACACTTTCCAAGAGTTTCATGGCTCACCTCTGTGCCTGTCAAAGCAGAGCAGCTGTGGTCGTCATGGAAACACTCCCGTTTGACCAGTGTCGGACCTCCCAGCACATGAATCATCTGCTGAAGGGTCCCCTGAATGCAACATAAAACACACAGTAGGACACAAATGAGAAAAAAAGTCATTCTGTCGGTTATGATTTGTGCTTTTGTATCGATTGTATTTCGTTTTGTTCCATGTTAATGTCTTGTTGTCTCGTGCTTTTGTTTCATGTCTGGCTCTTAAAGATGTCCAGCGATGCTCGTCTACTGGGCCCCTTATGTCTTGCGATCCACTCCCGCACCCACTTGTGTCTTGTCCAGGCGTTTCCTCGTTGTCTTCTTAGTTTGCTTTCGGTTCTTGTTGTATCATTTTACTTCTGTGTGTAGTTCTTGTTGGATTTTACTACATGTCCTAGTGAGTTCAGTCTGAGGGTTTGTTTCTTTTAATCTTTTTTTTTTTCCGATTCATTTAGTTTCTCAGAAATTCATAAGTCCTGCATTTTCTTTTATGTTTAAAAAAAAAAATATATATATATATATATATATATACACATATATAATTAGAATTAACTTTTTCAGAGCACGCCTGTCTTGCTCACTGCTTTCCTGTAATTTGGTCCTCAACCTTTCCAAACCTTAACACGGTATAGTTAGTTTAATTTAAAATCACTTTATTTGTTGCCGAATAGTTTCCAAACAATATCATTCCATCCTGTATATTAACTGGCCAAAATTTAGATGCACCAACTAAATATAAAAAGTGGTCATACGATCCTTCTGAATGTGTTCTACTCGCCAACAGATGAATTATCGGCTGGTAGAAAACTGTTGTAGTTTGTTTACATCATCTACTAACACAACATGTGCAAAAAGATGGAATAAAACAGCACCTACCGAATACAATTTGCAGATGTAAATGGAGCTATTGTATATTTTAGTTAAAGATTTAATATAAAATAGAATATGTAGAAATTAGAGGAAAAAATAACTTGGCTTTTATTTTGAAATCTTGAAAACCAATTTTGTGGTTGGAACAAGCTGAACAGTTGGAAAGTTGGAATGGCTTGAATCGGTCAAAAAAATTACAGGACAAAACCCCCAAAAATGGTCATTTTTGGCTTTTATTTGGAAACATTTGTATTTAGAAAAGAGGATTTTTATGAAGTTAATTTTCGGTTTCTTGACTTAATAGCTCCCTGACAACACCATTACTAGATATTTTCAAGGTAGGATTTATTTTAACGGCTCTTGTCGAGAACATAACATTTCTACAAAGAGTTGAATTTGTCAAGTTTGATGTGGAAAATATGTTACTTACCTGTTTAATACAAACATAACAAAGTCAATATTATTATGACAGGCACTGCCTAAAACGATGACGAAGCGGTAGCAAAAGTCTACATGAGGCTATGAAATGATTTCCGTGTAAGGTAAAAAAAAAATAGCATTCTCACATTCTTAGACAACTAAAATTATGCTCGTAAATTCAATATATGTAAAAGCTGGAAAGAAAGGGGGAAGACTTACAAAGGTCAGCAACAGCATCAACGTTCGCATGGCTTGGGATGGAGACTCCTTCGTGGGCCGCTCGGACTTATAGCTTGGCTGACGAGGGCTTCTGTGGAAGCCCTGGGTCACACACACACACACACACACACACACATACATTCTACAAGGGTTACCGAACAGTGACCTCTGACAAGGTGAAACAATTTTGAACACCACTAAAGTACACAATAATGCAAATGCTTAAATTCTCAAGATTATTCATGTCAAATCATACGTCCAGTTTCAGTGGAAAAATAACAATCAGACTTTCATGGATTATCATAGGCCCGAACTGAATAGATTTAGTGGTGCAAACATCCTCGGGGTGGGGGTGGCGGGGGACGGGGTTTAATGTCTGATATTCAATTTTGAGTGTGGGACAGTTTTCGATGACAGTAGACTTACTGTTGGGAAGTCACAGTTAGTAATCAGAATGTCCAATATAAACATCTTTTTTTGGCTCCCTATGTCCCTCCAAGGCAGAAGTAACACAAAATAGAAGAAAGTAGATATTCAACTCAATATGTTCCAGTGCCAGATTTCATTATATTGCTCTCAGAAAGTCTACCTTTCTAGCGTAGCGAACCTTTATTTATCCATGTCATAGAGATGACGACTCTCTTCTCTACCACATTCATGTTTTTGGCTTTGCTTGACATTAAACTCCATCTTGAGCCTTCTCGCATTCATCTTCTGTCTTGACGGGAAGGTCGGAGGGCGAGAACTGTGGCCCAGGTGAGGAATGTGACATGAGAATCAAAAGAGCGCGTGACTGCTGCCTCACTGTCGGCTCAAGATGGATCCCACTTACGGTAAAAGATCAAGGGGTGCGAGGGAAGTTTGGGGCCTCGACCTTCAATGAGCGTTGACGCTAGGGGGCTTTATATGATTGTGTACATTTAAAGGTACTAGTGAAAGATACATATTATGTCAACAATGCATCTGGATTCCCCCGCCATGATTTATTTTTTGATACTTTTAACACTCCTGACCAATATCAGTGAGTGAAAGTATCGTATTTGACAATACATAGACACAGACAAAATAGCGTCGGTGGAAGAGCACCAGGACTTGATAATGAGAAAGTAGAAATTGACTTGCTGGGGTCCAAGAGATGAGCTTGATATGCACAAAGTGAGTTCCTACACTTTAAACTGCAAGATTTCCCTTGCGGATGATGTAGTCAGTCATGCATGTGACGTGGGAAATTGGAGACCGCCTTGCACCCCTGATCTTGCACGTATTTGTAAGTATCTGTACTTTTTGTCAAATTACAGGCTGGGGTTTCCATTCTTTTTGCCTTTCATTGCAGTACTCCAAATGATTCTTTCGTCAATGAATGATGTTTTCTTTGTTTTACCCATTTGAATTTTAAATTACGATCGTTAATAATAATCATTCCATTTCTAACTGGTTTTGGCCAATGCTATTTCATAAATAAATAGATTTTCTCGAGAAACAGTTCTCTGCTATTTGAGTTGGTTATACCTCAGCAAAAATCACAAACCTGTCAGCCACATGGTCCACTACCCGGAAAAAACCCACGCAGGCCTGGGGAGAGCATGCAAACTCCAAACAGGGAGGCTGGAGCTGGATTTGAACCCGGTACCTCTACACTGTCAGGTCGACGTGCTAAACACTGGACCATAAAAAAATATTATCAGGTATATTGGACCTTATTAGGGCGGCCCAGTGCTCCAGTGGTTAGCGCGTTGACCTCACAGTGCAGAGTGACCGGGTTCAATTCCAGCTCCAGCCTCCCTGTGTGGAGTTTGCGGTTTCCTCCCACATTCCAAAAACATGTATGGCAGGCTGATTAAACACTCTTCTTCTACCTGTCACTCTACATTGCTGGCATGGATAGATGAACAAAAATACATCATGGATTTGATGATCTCTCAAAGCACAGCAATGTTGGGAAAAAACGGTCTCATTGGTTTAACTTCTGCTGTTAGTGGACCAACCAGGACAGCTCAAATGTTGTGTTTGCAGTCAACAATGTTGTTGACTCAAACTATGTTGTTTCCCGACTTTTTGGGCACAATCAAAAGTGTAAATACAATTTCAGGCTGGATACAATGATACTTAGTTGAAAAGATGATTCTAACAATGGAGTCAATAATATCACCATGAGAAAAAGACAAGTGATCTTTCTTTAATGATCACGTAAACACACTTTAGTCAAAGTAAGACGAGCATTGTGACTGAATGCAAATATGAACAAGTAGATATTTTGTACGCTTTATACAACATATTCAAGACGAAAACTCTCGTCGAGGAAATTCTGGCTCGAGAGGCAACTGTTTCGGGCGAATGTTCTCAGGCACATATGAGGCTGTTATGTATACACTGACATTAAGGCTATGTGCACACATAGGCGGGTATTTTTTCATCTTTTTTTTTATCCACAAAGGATACAAAATTAAAAAAATGAAACTAAACACAAAGTTCAAGATATTAGCTATTCGCTACAATCAGCCTGATGTAAAAGACAATTTTGGACAATTGGAACCTTAAATAAAGCCATTTCAGAAAAAGACAAAAAAAACTATTAAAAATAAAACCCATGATGGCCAGTTAAGCAAAACGAATTGGCAAGTGGAAAAATGCATTCTTGGGCTGTTCAAGAGCATGCCAAAAGCAGCAGCTAGCACATTAACCCCAAACTAGAAGGCCATTTGGGCCAATCAGAAGGCTGAAGGCAGTCATTTCCAGAAAAGGCACAGAAACGATAAAATCAAGTAACAAGAACAAAACAAACCAAAAAAAAAAACAAAACAAAACTGTCCTTATGAACTGCTATGCATTTGCAGGCTGTCATGAGCATGCCAAAGCAACAGGTGGCGCCATATCTTCCAAAAAAATGCAAGGCAATCTTAGCCAATTATAGTGTACAGTATTTTAAAAAGCAGAAAATGATCACTTATGGACAAAAACGTCATGCACAGTTAACAAATGGTGGACTATATAAAAAAAAAAAAAAATCCCCACACAAGCCGGTAGAAGGGACACATACACCAAAAAAAAAAAAGGATGAAAAAAATTGAGTACAATCTTACAAGAAAATTGACAGGTTGTGTACAAAATTAGTTCTGGAAAGTCCGGGCACAAAAGTCCATTGTTAGATAAACAACAATTAGCCTATTGTATATGGACAACAGGCTAAAATAAACACACCAATATATCTTATCAAAAAAATACCCGCTGTCAGTGTGGACATGGTCCAAGGTTAAGTAGTAAGCTGTTTGCTCTGCTGGCTGAAGATGTACCCTAACATGTGTGCCGCACAAACATGACCATTTCTTTTCAGTTTAGGAACTCCAGGCAGCCTGTGGATTCCCCTTCTGACAAAGTCTCCTGTTCACATTTTGGCTACTAGTTCAAGTTATGGTGACCACTACAGATCATGAGAACAAATACACCGCTTTTAAACAGTGTTAGAATGTGGTAGGAAATGGTACGAACCTCAAAAACAAAAAAAACAAACAAACAAAAAAAAAACCCCAGCATGAATCCATTAAAGTGATACAATCCCCACCATGGACATGGCAATGACAAAATACAATGACCAGGTTGGATTCCTCTCAAATGGTTTTGCAACAGATGTAAAATGTGCTCTTAATCTCTTAATGGTGCACATCCTTGATAAGGAAGAACACGTGCTGGGCTCTATGTACAAAAATAAGACGGCTTTACGGGTTGATATGGTTAAATACATCAGATTTTTCTTTTAAAAATGACATTGAGAAACATTCTGCACACCTTCACTCGCTACAACTTCATTTTGCTGCACTAATCCTTGATTCATTCCTGCCTCGAGAATGCAAGAACATAGAGCTTGTTTGGGTCAAGAAGGCATTTGTCATCATCCATGCACACATTTTTTTCACAGCGCTTGTCCTCATTAGGGTCACGGGTGAGCTGGAGCCTATCCCAGTGGACATTGGGCGACTGGCAGTGTACACCCATAATCGGTCGTCAGCCACTTGTAGGGCACTTATAGACAAACAACCATGCACACTCACACCTACAGGCAGTTTTGAGTCTTCAATAAATGTAAAATGATTAGTTTCGAGGAAGAAGATGCAAATGCTACAAGGAAGGCTAGAAGAGAGATTTGATTCCGGACCTCAACACTGTGAGGCAGAAGTGCTACTCACAATCCCGCTGGGCCACCATCAGTTTCATTCTGGCAAAATTGGTCCGGAATGAACTCGAGCAGATGCTTCACTGCGACCTCATTCCAAAGCATCAGTCGCCAACTCTCTGAAAGTACCAATTTGGTACCTTCAGAGAGTTTTTTTAATTGGTCAACTGAAAGAAGTTTCATCTTGAAAATCAGGTGGATCCACCTGTGCCTCTGCACACTTCAATCATCTCCGTCACATGATACAGTACCAGAAAATTGAGCACAAATTAAAGATTTATCACAACAGGTGATCTCAGACATCTGCGTGCAATATGTGGTGACAAGCTTACAAATGAGGCAATGAAGCCTTCATTAGCTTGCTTATATTTCCATCAACAAATCATTGTGAATCGGGACTTTCTGCAATGATTGCAAACTAAAATGATTTTTTTTAATTCAATAGTTCCTGACTACCGAAATACTTCAGGTGTCTTTGTTGTTTCATTACCCCAACATGGGAGCAACTAGTTGACGATTACAACTGCATTCAGTGTCATGGTGAATTGTATTTTCAATCATTTGTTTTTGATTTATTTTGGTGTTCTTCCATCCAAACATCGCTTGATGTGAAACTGGTCCATGGGTGGGGGAGAGGAAAAACAAAGCGGAGTGCTATTTCCACCGGGACCTTCCCCAATTACCTTAACAGTGGATGAACAGAATTGGTGATCCAGTCGTAGAAATTTGACCTCTTACATGGATTACTATCCACTCTTTTTTTTAGCTTGCTCTCGTCTACTATAAAGTCTATTTATCGATGACGAGAGAGCAGCATGTGACCAGTCTCTGTCTGTCGATGGCGCCACAGCGCTGTTTACTGGCATTGCTGAGAATTGCGGCCAATTCTGGAACAGATTTGAAAGGTACTGTACAAAGGGGATGTGTTGAATGGACTGGACACTATTTTCTGTTTGTTGAATCCGGGATCTGTTGGTTCGAAGGTCCGTTAAATCGAAGTTCCACCATATACTGAAGGCCCAGGTACTGAATGTACGGCCCTTAGATTTCACCATTAAAACCAGCCCAGTGATTGAACGAAATTGGACCCACCTGCTCTAGGCACAGCAAGAACACACAGCAAGCAGAGACAGGACAGCAAACAATGCTGATACGGCAGTGGTGGTTAGTGACGAGAGAAGATGTCATGAAGCGGTTCGAGGCAAGTGGCGGCGTTACTACGAGATCCGCTCCTCCTGTACATGGACTTCCTGCTTATTTTAGCAGCGGTCATCATCGTCTGTGTCACTCAGCAGCTCGCCGTCTGGGCTAGCCTGCGCCAAGTTCTTTTGGAAATGTCCATTGGGCACCTGCCAGGAGTGTCTGAGTTGAGGGGCTGAGCTGATGGCGTTGGCACGTCCCAAGCTGGTCTGCACGGCGGTCTCAAAAGTCAGGTGTTCTTGCCTCTCGCCGGCTTGGCCTCCCCTGGGGTCCTCGTGAAATGGCAGGTAGGGCTCTGAGATGTAACGGTGGGGAGACGGATGGCTCGGGCCGGACGCCTGACATGAGGAGGACTTGGCCTGCTTGGAGGGGGCCGGGCCGTCTGAATGCGGGGCGCGTCCCGCGGAGGAGGCCGGCGGTGCACTGGGGGGGTGGTCTCGGCACACTAGGGGGGAGTACGAGATGTGAGGACGAGGGCGGGAGGGTGTCTGCGGGAGTTGGCGCCGATTACGAGGGGTGCCGGACTCGGAGGCCGAATGGGCGGGGCTGCCTGTTGTGTTGACCTGAACACAAAAACATGTTCATTTTCAATATGGTTATCATTATTATGAAAACCTGATTCAAAATCAAACTTTACTTGCATCTCTGATTTAAAAAAAAATAAAAATGTAATTTCAAATTCTGATGCCCGATTTGAAAGCCTAACTCTGGCCTGGAACCTGAACCTTGTTTTGGAACCCATACTTGCAGCCCTAATTTAAAACCCAATTGTGAATTCCTACTGTGAGAGCGAAACCATGCCATAAAATGCTGATTTGAAAGACTTGTCCAGCCTGCCGCCTATACCATCGCTAGAAACCCTAAATTGAATTCCCATCTCTGGCTTCAAACCCTAATTCGAAATTTGAAGCTTGACTCGAAACACAAATTTGAAACCCAAACCTGGTTTTGAAACCCTAATATGATGCCTAACTCTTTTGCTTATAAATCAAACTCCATCTTGAAAACTTGAACCTTACATGAAATCCTAATCCATAATTTCATAACTTTCATACCTTCAAAGCTTACCCCGGTTTGAACCCCGGAGGGAGTCCTGTCGCGGTCTCACCTGTCTCTGCAAGGACTGCGGGCATCCTTCTTTGGGCGAGAGGGAGCGTCTCCTCTCGCACGACGGGTCTCGGCTTCGCTCTTCAGAGTTACAGCGGGACACGTCTGGAGACAGTAGGTGGCGCCGTTCTTTAGACCGCCCCCTCTCATGACTACTTTGATTGATTGAGCCTGTGAGTGGAGTCACATTGTGACGTTCACACGTCCAAAAAAAAAAAAAAGTATCTTTATTTTTTCACTTATCAGATAAACAAGTGTCCTAATAGTCTTATCCCAGCTGACTTTGGTGAAGAAACGGGGTACACCCTAAACTGGTTGGCAACATATAAGCAAACAACCATGCAGCACTCCCATTTACACCTACCCTGTCGAGTATACAATTCACCCAACATGCCGCAGGCACCCAGACATAAACTTCTAAATATCTAATTTGAGGAGGTATAAAAACAAAATGTGACCTCTGTAGCTCTTCTGTCGAAGTCTAAACATGTTGTCGGGGCTGACTCTCTCCAGGGAATGTTGCTCTTGCCACAGGCGATTCACACACTGGTCTCCGATGGTGGAAAAGGAGCGCTTCATCAGCTTTCTGTCAGCTGACATTCCAGGCTGCAATGGCACGGAGGCAGTTGCGTGGAAAAAAAAAAAACTCATCATGGCTGAGGCGCTTTTGGATCCAGCTCTGAGTTGGCTATTTTGACCAATTTGTGTTACTTTTGACCCGACAGTTTTAAGAGTGTAGAAAATAGATATGCACTTTAAAGAGGCGGGCCCTGGTGAGGTGGCATGTGACATCGGCAAGTCTGCGTGTGAGTGTGTGAGTTCTGGGAGACAGCAGCTTTTGTGTGAGATGTGTGCTCTCCAACATGCCAGGGCATCGCAGTAAGTAAACTGTAAAACTTAATTTCAAAAACCATATTGGCAATCTCGCGGGAATTTCCACGTCAGACAGATCAACAGGTTCCGCCCCAAAAATCGGTGATGTAACAGGGGTGTGAATGCAATATATCGGGGGAACATTGTAATACTTTGTATGAATCTTGTCTTTCCTACCTGTGGCTCCACAGCCAGTCTGGGCATGGAGGACGCTCTGATGGATGACGTGCGCTGAGGTGATCTGAAGACTGTTGGCTCTTGTCTTGATTGTTGTGTCACTTGGTTATACTCGACGACATCGGGCACCTAAACAAATGGAGACGACACATACAGTAAAGGCACATAAACCGTGTTAGCCATTCTAATTGGGTGCAGACCATGGACGGTCCGATCTACCATCCTGGACCTGTCTTAAATATATGTGGTCATTCTAGCTGTCATGGCTCAACTATAAGTAAAAATATAAAATAAAAGTAATGGAAAGAGTCAGAAGAATCAATTGGAGTTGTGCAGCTAAAATATTGATTTCTTTAAGAAAAAGTCGTTACCAGTGTGTCTAAATGGTGGTGGTGGTGGTGATAAGGGAAGTGATAACGGTGGTAAGGTGGGTAGTAATCATCATTCTCCTCTTCCTCTCCGGAACGAAATCGCGGTTGCAGGAACATATCTTGCGGGGAGATAGGGCTGAGGGCCACAAAGCCCCCTTTGGTGCTGCAGGGACAAATACAGAATACGGGCAAAAGAGGAGATTGAGGATTTGTGAGGATCATAATTGTGCAAGTGAATTGAAAGGCGCGTATTTACAGAGCTGATCCTGCACTGTGGCTGAGGAAGGAGAGTGATTTGGCATTGCATATGATCTCCTGGGGCAAGGAGGAAGCATCCATCCGCTGGAACATGGGAGCGTGTTTCTGCGTGGAAGAGAGCAGGAAATTGAAAGATGGATTCAGTCTAACTCCAACTGAAGTATTTATATAAAATCATGTTTTCCCTAACATGATGGATAGGGGTGACTGATAACTGTGATTCGGCCATAATTGTGTTGCCCTAATTTGCAGCTTGTCCATAGAATGCAAAAGCTGCATGTGTCGCCATGAACTCCAACTATAATATTGGGAAAAAAAATCCCAACAAAATGTGAAAAATTACTTTCACGTATCTAAAATAAAATGTACTTGTTCCTCCAGCTGCTGTCGGAGCTTCTTGGCCTTGCTCTGCTTGTAGTAGTCCATGATCATCATGGCCGCGTAGATCTTTCCTATGGTCATGTCACTAGCTGAGGAAATGAAAACCTGTGAGATACTTTTAATAGGCTAATTAAAAAACTGTTAGCACACCAGATTAATTTAATTCAAACATCACCTTTGTTAATAGGAACCAGAAGGTCCAGCATTTTCTGAGAGAGGTGAGGCCAGATGACACTGATTTCCTTCTGAAGGTCCAAGTCCATCTGATTTCGATCCTCTCCTCCTGTACATACAAGCGGTGATGACTCCGCATGAGGAGCAGTTCTCCGCCAGATGGCGCTGTGTTCCTTTGTTTTAATATGCGCTCTATATATAATAGAGCAGCAATTCCGTTGCAAAATATGAATAGAATGCAATCAATTTGAATACTGTCGAACCTAATTTTGAAGGAACTATGTTAAAGTGAGTGAAAGCGCTTCATGTGGTCCCTTGCTGCAATCTTTTGGCATCTCGTTGCTAAGGAACTATGTTGAAGTGAGATGAGGAGCTTCATGTAGCGCTTTGCTGCCACCTCATAGCATCTGTAAGAGTTTTTAAACATCTTTTTTTGGGGGGGGGGGGCTCGGTCCCTATCGTCCAAGTATAACAGGGGAACACTGTTTCATAAAATATTTAAGATGCACTTGTACATAAGTTGTCCTTGTAGTTGAGTAATTTTCTAGGAACAAGTGGCTGGGCACAAATAACCCCTGCCCTCCTGACAATGTTATGTCTTGTGGGAACATTTTGAAGACGACATTGTAATCTGGATATGCGGTAAATAAAGCAGATGGATGGGGGTGTGGGGGGTGTGGGGGTCAACAGGAACTGAAAAAAAAAAAGTAATACGGACTTTTGTCCATGTCGATAAAAATGTTTCTGATGAAAGTACCACTCTGCAAAAGACAAATTCACAAGCTACCATGAATTTCAACTGATGAATTGTGAATGTTTTGACTTTTCTTCTGACCTCCAGCTAGCTTGACTTCCAGGGCGGTACGGATGAGGGCCATGAGGGTGGATGTGAAGTGGACGGACATGTCCTCGTCCACTGGCATGTTCATCAGGACGAGTCTCTGGGGGTTGTAGAGACATACAGCATCATAATCAGCAAAGCTAAATCACAAAATGAAAATTAAATGGATTTGTTTTTAAAAGCCCATGACCCTAAACGGGATAAGTGAAAAAAAAAAAAAAAAAGAATGAATTAATTTTGGAAAAAAAAAGTCCAGAAGTGCTGTGGTGACAAAGGAAGAAGTTAAATCTTCTAATCCACTCATAGGATGTGAAATTACAATTGCAAAGTGAAAAATCTGAATATTATGAAGGTTTTGTTGACATATATAATGCAAACAGGTCATGTATGTATATATAATGGTACAGTATGTATATATGAATGTACAGTTTATTAAAGTCACCACAGCCATCATTCCAGAGTTTCAAAACACATTGAATACGAGTGCATTCACCAGCCACAATACTAGCTACACTTTTAAATAATTTGATCAATAATATCAAAACCTTGACAAGGACAACAATACTAAATTCTGACTGACAATGTCAGAGGCATGAATTGAACATGTTTACTAGGGTGGGTGCAGTGCATTCCATGATATTGAGAAGTGTTTCGACTATTTAGATTAGTGACATGGGTAAGGGCAAAATTCGAACCAGTTTTCAGTGGGATGCGGTGCACTGCCACAGTAAGAACCAACATTATTAAATTCAGTACCTCTCTGACTGTGCCAATCACAACAGAATATTATGACATAAGACATACACATGCACGCAGATACGATGCTGGGCTGTGGCAGAAGGCACATGCGCAAACGATATGGAAGAAAAAGAAGTATGACGATGACGAGATCGAGCATGGGGATTTTTAGCAACTCCCTTAGAAAAGAACTTTCTTGAAATAGCCACTAACAGCAAATAAACAATGTGGCACACACATCCCGATAGTCTAATTTCTCCTAAATGTGTATATATGTCTCCAAAAAATGAGGACACCAAGGATCAAATCTTTCTCCCTTCTCTGTTGTTCTCCTCGACTCCTTAATGGTGGGAGACGCTAACATGAAAACAGAAGAGCGAGGAGGTTGCAAATACTCGAAACATATTTGATTGAGCCACAGACACCTTGATGTGAAACGAACCAAAGGCCGATTAGGAAGTGACTTGACGCCCTGTTGCCAAATTTATTTTGTATTTAGTTTGTATTTTAAATTAAAAAAAAAATGTGTGCTCTCTTTGAACATTTTAACTTTTTCTCATAACCTTTTGAGTGTTCAAATTTTGTTTTTAAGCAGCCTAAAGTATGCAGTGGGCCGGATATGACCACCAGGCTGGAGCTTGGACTTGAAAATAAGCTAACATTTAGCAATGACTCTTCTATTTCTTCAACTAATACTACTACTACTACTACTAGTAGTAGTGCTATTACTACTACTAGTACTACTACTACTACTACTACTACTACTACCACGACGACTACTTTTTCTTCTTTTATGTATTTTCTGTCCATCTGGATGGCACCATGCTGCTGCCCACTGGTCAGTTTCTGTATTACAACAAACTTTTTGGATTTGGGGATATGGTGATGTGTGTGGTGTGCTGTTGGTAGAACACAAGTATAAGAATACACTTTCAAATTTGTTTCCACAACATATGCAGGGTCTCGCACAATAATAATAATAAAAAAAAAAAGCTAACATTGTTAAAAATCGGAATGTGTGTACCTCGCTGTAGTTGTCTGTCATAAAGCAATGGAAACCAAGCATTTCATCGGCCAGTGAATAGACATTACTGCTGCAAATGAACAATACAGCGTCATACAGTCAACGGAAAATGCTTTCTAAGCAAATAAAATGGAAAACTTGATCTTGAACAGCGCTTCCCTTCAGATACAGACATGAGCAGCCTCTTTAAGGTCTACCTTATAAGCCACCTTGGATGGGCATTTCTTGCCGAGGCCAAGGGGTGGCGACATGTTGGTCAACATCTCATACATGTCAGTGTAATGGATGCGACCACTGCGGGTGCCAGGTAGTCATGGCGATAGGAGGAAGTAATGGAGGGAGAGGAAATGTAAAAAAAAAAATATCACAAACATGGAAGTGAAGGGGAAATAACAGAATGGCGGAGAAACAAGAGAGGATTATTCCAGTGCATCACATACCAGGACAGAGTAAAGTAGGTTGCATTATTTCTATGCTGATATGAGGGCATAGAAATTTCTGAGGGAAGGGGAAATACTTCAGAAAGAATGAACAAAGGAATGACAGCCTAGATCTGGTGCAAATGACATACTTACACAGCACATGTGAGTATGAGAGATCTTCAAACCAGATCTACAAGGTAGAAAGAGTCAGGCTTCCCGCAACAGGCTTCGCATTTCAATTAAGCTTCAAGTATTAGAAATCTCATGTGAATGCTGAGAGATGCTTTTGATCGGGGTGGGGCGGTTGGGGGGGGGGCATTTATTAGACCTTGACTCTTGAGTTAAATCCATGCCCATGCATGCATTTCAAATCATATTCCCCTTTTGAAATGAGTTGAAATGCCATTTAATTGTTCCACCCCCAACAACAATTTTTTTGTAACATTTAAAAAAAAAAAAAAAAGAAAAAGCACAATTAATTTAATGCCTTATTTTTTTTTTTTGCTTTCCTCACTGTCAGTGTTGTCAATGTGTTCTCCATCATTTGATAGACAGAGGTCCACAGTTTGGAAATTATTTTACCACCTTTGGTAGAGTTAGCATTAACCCTTTCAGTGGTTACTACAGTGGACAGCTTATCGTGTTATCAGGTTACAGGGTGCACGAAAGGGTTAAAGGGCTCGCTGTATTGTTTGTAGACGGCACACGTGCACTCGGGTATATTAACTGGTCCAGCTTCATTTTCATGCTAGGGCAAGTCTCGTTTACTGTGTTTAGGGATTTGAGAGACTGCACTACGCCACGCTCGGTGTTCCAGCGCCCAGAGGGCGCTTTTCTTTTACACGCCACTGGGCATAGCTGACAGTTTGATGGTTGAAAGAAGACTACTGTGTTCATGCCCACAACGAGGCAAACCACTGTTTCTAAAAACGTGTTTCTTCGAAAATATCAAAAGAAAACTCCACCCATGCTAGCAGTTAGACCACGTAAAGCTAGACTTCTGCTCGGCACGGTTATAGACATAGGAGTTTCCTCTGCCTGAGTTGAAATCAATTTAATAAAGATGCTGCTATTAGGTGAGCGGAATAGCAATAATCAGAAACACAAATAATACAGGTGCCTATAAATAAATTAGAATATTGTATACTAAGTATACCAGGACATCAGTATCAGTTATTGAGGAGTTTAGCGAAAAAAAAAAATGAAAAATTGTTTCGGCACAACACTTTTAAGAAGAATAATTCCTACTTCATTTCAACACAAAAAAGGACTAGGATGGTTTATAATTTCTTGAGCCGATGAATTGTTGGTTTTCGTTGGCTGGAAGCATCAAATTGATCAAAAATGTAATCGTGCATTATTTCACTCGGAATTGAACAAATGAAATGAAACATTCGCCGATATTCAAATTTCGGGAGCTGCACCTGCATGTACTGCATGAGTGTAGCTGCTCATCTCTCCGCATTCACACAATGATGTGTCCACATAAGTTTATGTGGGCACGGGGAGTGCCGTCCCTTAGTACCCTGACACTGGACTGTCATCATTCTTTGACCATCGCACCGGAAAAGCACACTCCTAAAAGAGTCAAGCAAGGTGGTGACAGTCAGTGACGACGAAAGAAGAGGAAGGAAAAGGAAGAAGTCAGCGAGGGCCCCAAACGGCGGAGGCCAAGTGGGTTTTTGTTCGTTTGTT